ACATGGGGACACTCGCAGCGCCGGTGCCAGACGGTGGCTTGGAATTTGAATCATACAACGAGGTAGGAAGAGCGCCCGGGGTTCAGGAAATGTTACCTCCCAATCCTCTGTCCTAGATGGTTCCAGACACACGGGGCAACAGGGTGCAACAGATGGCACTTGACACTCCTACGTGTCGACGTGGCCGTGTTCGATGAAAACGTCCCGCTCATAGGTAAGTCATTCCTGACTGATGCTGACTCAGGGCAAGCCGCTGACGTTTTTAGGGAGACGAGCCGGGATCCTGGAAACAACGGGGGGTTTCAACAACCCTGGGGCCTTGGATTTCACAACCACCCCCGAGAGGCTCGTTCCCACCAAAAGACCAAGCTTGGCCTCCGGACGCTTCACTTCCTCTTGGTGGAGGGCCACGTCTTCACCAGACAGGCCCGGTGTGGGCCCTGGGATGAGACCCCCACCCTGGCCGAGCTCCTGGTTGAGCGGGAAGCCCCGGCCGGCTGCCAGCACCCACCCTCCCCCGTCGGAGGAGCCGTGCAAGGTTTCAGAGGAGAGGAGGCAGGTATTTAGGGGGAAAGAGTGGTGGCCTGGGGGTGACTCTCTGCACCTCAATTTAAAATCACTGGTCCTGGGGGATGCCTGGGGGCTCAGCAGTTGAGCGTCTGCCTTCAGCTCGGGGTCCTGGGATCGAGTCCCGCATCGGGCTCCCCACGGGGAGCCTGCTTCTCCCTCTGCCTGTGTCTCTGCCTCCCTCTCTGTGTCTCTCCTGAATAAATAAATACAATCTTTAAAAATAAAGTAAAATAAAATCACCGGTCCTCACCGCGCCCGTACGGGTGCCCCCCTTCGGCTTTCCCGTCTGGACATGGGGCAGGGGACCAGAGAAAAGTCAGTGCAATCATCCCTTTGGACAATTCCTGCTTTGGACAATTTTGTGGAATGAATCCCATGGCCCACATTCACGTTTTAATTAACGATTACATCAAGCTCTGTTGGAAAATTTCACAACAAGCCTTGGACCCATCTGGCTTTTCCTCCCCTGGGGGGTGAGGGTTACAAGAGGAACAATGAAAGATGAGTGTCATGTGGCAAAAGGAGACCTTTCTTCCTCACCATCTTCCTCCTCCTGTCTGTTCCACCTCCGTCCTGTGCGAGGCTGTCCTGCAGGATGCGAGCCCCACACCGGGCTCGGCCTTCTCCCACCCGGGCCTCCGTCCCGCACCTGACAAATGGGGACGAGCCCTCCGTGTCATGTGTTGGACAGAGCAGAGGGCGTGGACACTTGGGTTTCCAGGGGGCCCAGCGGAGCCTGTCCCCCACCCTCTGGGAATTCTAAATTTGTAGCAGATGGTGGGGTCCGAGAGGCCAGCTTGGCCAGGGCTGAGAGAATGTCACCCAGCTTCTGGGCACATCTGAGAGCAGCTTTGTGGCAGGAGCTGATGATTTCCATGATAAACGAGCCCTAAATGAATCCTTACATCATGAAGTTCAGTGTTTGTGGTTAGCCTGGCAAGGAAGGGAGAGACCGAGGTTAGGGAGGGATGCAGGGATTGCACCCAGCAGCCTGCCCACCAGCCTCCCTCCCTCCCTCCCGGCTCCTGACCTCCCTTCCACTAACATCTGCTGAGCTCCTACTGTGTGCAGGGCCCCGTGCTGGCTCAGGGACCCTACAGGGATGAGGCCGACATAGTCCCCGCCCCCCGCCCCCAAAGACAGGAGGCAATGGGATCAGTACATAAGAAGAGAAGCCCAGGAGGCTGTGGGGACTGGGCGGCTCCAGCCTGACCTGTAGGGTAGGGGTCCGGGGAAGACTTCCTACAATAAGGCTTGGGGGACCGATCACCAGATGGAAGTGAGCACTCCTGGCAGAGGGAACGGCAGGGGCAAAGGTGGAGAGGTTGGAGCAGGAGTGCAGGATGCAGGGGAGGGGCGGGTAGAGGAGGGACACCGCAGGGGCCAGCAGGAGGTAGAGCACAACTGGCCCGAGTCCAAGTCCCAGCCTCCGTAGCTCAGACTTTATTCTGAGGCCCCAGGGAGTCAGGGTAGGACTTCTCTCAAGGGGCATGAACCGGGAGCAGGGGTGGGTGGAGGAGGGTCCTGCCGGCTCAAGCCTGCTTTCCTTCACTCCAGGGGCGCTTCCAGAAGGCCTGCTCCCCAGGCCCCCGCAGCAGGCCGGCTAGCCTCTCCCCAGCGCACACGCTCAGGACAAAACCTGCGCAAAGAGCAAGGAGCGGGGCTTCGCAGGACAAAACTCCTTTGTGATGAGCGTCAGGCCATGGAGGCGCAGTGCTCTGCTGCCCTCTGGTGAGGACTGGAGATGCACCCCTGCAGGGCTCCCCACCACCGTCCCCCGCCCCGCCCCCGCCAGCTTCTAAAATCCTGAGTTTCCTCTGGACACCTTCATCCCTCCATCCCTCCCTCGACCACCACGGGGAGTCCCAGGGCTCCCGGCAAACAGGTGCAGAGAGCACAGGCCCAGGACAGGGTGAGGAGGGGAGGGGGACACAGAGGGACTCAGCCCCAGCTGTGTCAGGGGTACCCCTGGATGGGGGGGGCAGGGCCTGTGTCTTTGACTTTCACAAATGAATAGGCACAGATGGCGTTTACTCCTATCACCATCACGATGGTCATAGTCATGATGATGGTGGTGACGGTGGCAGTGAGGGCAGGCACTGCTCTTTCTGTAGCTACAGGTGGCCGTGGCAGGACTTGGGTGACGCTGGTGTTGGGAATAGAATGACAGTAATGAGGACCAGGGTGGAGGCAGGAACCGTGGTAGTGGTGATGGAGCTGGTGGCTAATATGGCCTGGCTGTCCCTGTCTGTGTCCCTGGGGCGTACGTCCAGCTCTAGTGGGCACACACCTAGGGAGGGGGAGAGTTCTAGATCCCGGGATAGGCACAGGCTTAGCTTGACTCGATAAAGCCAAAGAGTTTTCAGAACGCGGTTGTCCTCGCACTCTTTCCCGTCACGTGTGGGAGTTCCAGACGCTGCGCATCCCCACAAACGGCATTGTCTGGTTTGTTCACTTATGTGTCTCTCGAGGGCCTAGAAGCCTGGCACACAGAGGAGGCCTCATACAGAAGAGCTGCTGAACGAATTCACAAGTGAAGGGCAGCAGACGTCCTGGCTCCCTGTTAGAGAACAGAACCAGAACTCTGCACCTGCTTGCGGACATCCAGCGAGGGACACATCCTGACCTGCCGAAGTCACGCCCAACAGCCCATCACAGCCCATCACGCACATATCCTTGGCTTGGCACTTTTCTCAAAACCCTTTCAGTGAGCCTCATCTCGGTCTATTTTTTTTTAAAGATGTTATTTATTCATGAGAGACAGAGGAGAGAGAAGGAGGGAGAGATTGAGAGGCAGGGACATGGGCAGAGGGAGAAGCAGGCTCCGTGCAGGGAGCCCGACGTGGGACTCGATCCCGGGACCCCGGGATCACGACCTGAACCGAAGGCAGATGGCCAACCACTGAGCCACCAGGGTGCCCCCCACTCTCAGTCCAGTTTTGAAGAGGAACAGCAATTTGATTAAACCCAGCACACAAAGATGTGAATGACTGGTAGTCCTTAACCCTTTTAGGGACATTTAAAGGAGCAGCTTGTTCTCTTACCCAGTTTACAAGTGAGAAAGGCAACCTGCCATAGCACCCAGCACCCAGGCCAGCACCAGCTCACAGCTCTGGGTTTTCCTCAGTTCTGCCGCGTACAGCTGCTTTCCCCCTAGACAACCTCCCCTGCCTGCCTCTCTCTTTTCTTCCTTTTTTTTTTTTTCATCTGCAAAACAGGAATAGTAATTCTTGTCCTATCCACCTCCAGGATTTAAAAAAGAAAAAAAAATATAACCGATTACGGAACTTCACAGTTGAAAGAAATCTTGGAGATCATCTAGGGACTTTTATTTTTGCTATTAGATAACTCTTTGCAATGTATGAATCACTTTCAATTACACTGGCTCATTGAAAGCTCAGAACAACTATGTGAAATCATTAATCTCTTTTTATAGGAAGGAAACCAGGTAAGAAAGGGGGAACTACTTGCTCAAGTGGCAGGGCTGGGGACAGTGGCTCTTTGCCCTACCTAATCTCCCTAAAGATCCACCTAGAGGGCCCTATGACTAAAAAGTTATCTGGCTCTTGCTTGCACTCCTCGGTGCCTGGGGAGCTCACCGCCACCCAAGATGAGTCCTGCCCTAGTTGGGTGGCTCTCATAGTTGGCTGTCATTCCTGGTGGCATAAGGCATGTTACACTGAAAGGGGGGTGATTATTAAGACTTTCATGTTAAGGAGGGTCAGGGAGAGGGGAAGTTTAGGGAAATATTCAGAGACCGTACAGAGGCAGCCAGAATGGCAATAATAATAACAATGCCTCTCTGATAACGTCATTTCCCCATTTGTAACCCTTCGACGTCTTCCTGGTTCCCTAAGAGGGAGTCCAGGCTCCTTCATGTACCCTCCATGAGCTCGGTCCAGTCTCAAAACACCTCTATGTGTCTCACACATTTCCCCACCCCCCAGCCCTCCTGTACCGTGTTCCCTCCGCCAAGAACACCCTCACCTACGGCCCTCACCTGCCTGCTGCTACAGGGCTCTGAACCACCCCCCAAATCCCTGCACACTGGACTGTTCTTACTTGTGTCCCTGCCCAAGACCATGGGATTCCTTTGCCCTGGTGTCCAGCACGGGCACCGTGACTGAATGGGTGACTGGCCCACCCCAGCACGGACGCTGAGAGCTCTGCTGCTCCTGACAGCCAGGCCAGGAGAGGGTTAAACAGCTGCCCTGGCCTCAGCTCAGCCTTGGCATTGGAGAAGCAGGTGGTCCAATGTTTAACCAGGTTCTCTATGGGCCTTCGGTCAGCTTGGCTCAGGAACTCAATCCAGCCAGGTCTTCCGAGAGCCGAAACCTGGGCTCCTCTCGCCCCTTTAGGCACCACCACCACCACCACACCACACCTCTGCCTCCTCCCTGAGGCCTGGGGTGCCAGGTAGCTGGAGCTGCCAGGGAGGGGAAGCGGGGAGGAAGATCACAAAGCTGGAGGAGGTGTAGGTGGAGAGTAGGAAGGGCCTGGTCCACACTCTGCCCGGGCTTGCTGCCAGGCCCTGGTTGCGCCCTTCGCATCCCTGCCTCCCCATCCCTACCTGTGTAGGGAGGAGGCGGGGCGGGGTGGTCCCTCCTGATAGGAATGGGCAAGAGCAAACTCCAGAACCCCCTAGCTAGGGGTCCCCTCGCTGGAGCCTTTCTCCACCAGGGCTGGAGGTGGGTAAATCTTTAACTAGCTGGCCCAGGGCAGGCCCGAGCCTTTCCGGATGGATGGCTGCCTGCCTGAGAAGGGGGAAAGGGGGTGGCGGATGTAGGGTGTGCAGAGCCAGTCCCAGCGCGTGGAAAAGGGAGAGAGTGGGGGAGAGAAAGGAACGGGGCTCGGGCGGAGCCAACTCCGTGTGCAAAGCAGGACATGGAGAAGCGTGGCTCTCCCGACGGGTAAGCACAGATTCCGGGGGTTCCGGGGGGTTCCGGGGGGTTCCGGGAGCCGCCGAGCTCCGTCGAGCTCCGGGATGGTAAGTCACGTTGCTGCCGCAGGGACCCCGCGCGGAGCCTGGAGCAGGGGCCAGAGGGGCTGGAGGGGCCAGAAACGCCCATCCAGGTGGTGCTCAGGTAAGTATGGGTAGGCTGGAGCAGGGAAGGGGGGCGAGGGGGAACCCATGGCCACAATGGGATGGACCATCTGCCTCCCCCACGGACCCCAGGGTGCGCCCCATGAGCACCGCCGAGCTGCGTCGAGGGGAGCAGAGCGCGCTGCACTGCTCGGGGACCCGGACTCTGCAAGTGAGGAAGCCCTCCCACCCCAGCCCCAACTCCCCCCAGCCCGCTCCCCCGCCCCAACCCACCTGCAGGCCCCTCCACCCTTTCCCGGCGACAGTGTCCCAGGAACCCCGTTCCCCCCACCCCACCCCCCCGCCCCGTGAGCCCCGCCCTCCCAGGCCCCGCCCCCAGCGCGCCCCGCCCCCTCTGCCGTCCCCTCCCGACTGTGTCCCAGGACCTGCCCCCCCCGCCAGTGAGCCCCGCCCCGACTGTCACAGGCCCCGCCCACCTCGCCCCGCCCCCTGCCCCTGACCGTGTCCCAGGCCCCGCCCCCGGCCCAGGCCCCGCCCCTGCCGCCCCTGACTCTGTCCCAGGCCCCGCCCCTGCCGCCCCTGGCCGTGTCCCAGGCCCCGCCCCTGCCGCCCCCTCCCCCAGGTGAGCCCCCCGGGCGGCGGCCCGGACGTGGCGTTCCGCTTCGGCGCGGTGCTGGACGGGGCGCGCTCGCAGGAGGACGTGTTCCGGGCGTGCGGGGTGCGGCGCCTGGGGGAGCTGGCGCTGCGGGGGTGAGTGAGGCGGGCGCCCGGGCCCAGCACCCCCCACCCCGCCCCGGGATCCGCGACCCCTGACCCCCACCCCGCCGCCCCGGGCCCAGCCGCGCCCCTGCCGCCCGCAGCTTCTCCTGCACCGTCTTCACCTTCGGCCAGACGGGCTCCGGGAAGACCTACACCCTGACCGGGCCTCCTCCGCAGGTGCGCCGAGCGCAGGTGCAGCCCCGCGGGCGGGGGCGGGGGGGGCCGGGCCGGAGCCCTGGGGAGCCCTGGGGAGCCCTGGGGAGCCGCGGGCGGGCAGGCGGCGCAGGCTTCCAGCGGGGCAGGGCCTGCGTGCAGCCCGGGCCCGTTTACTTGCAGACGAGGAAACTGAGGACCCGGAGAGGTGAAGGCACTTGCCCGATGCGCAGCCACCTTTGTCCGCTTTACTTAGGGGCCGTCAGTTCGGGCCGCTAAGCGCAAGTGACGGTTCCGACCGAGGACTCGGCGGTGTCTACGGGCACGGGCACGGGCACGGTTCGGGCGCAGAGGGCAGTCCTCCACGAGGGCAGTTACGACTGCTCCTTGGCGCTGCGATGATCAGGATCCAGCCCCTGGCTCAGCTGTCTCTGCCCCCAGGGCGAGGGGGTGCCCGTCCCCCCCAACCTAGCTGGCATCATGCAGAGGACCTTCGCCTGGCTGTTGGACCGCGTGCAGCACCTGGGTGCACCTGTCACCCTCCGGGCCTCCTACTTGGAGATCTACAATGAGCAGGTGGGAGACGGAGATGAATGACAGCCCTCAGGGGAGAGGGGGCATTTCTCTCCCAGGAACATGGGTCAAGGGACAGAGGAGGCTGGGGGACTGTCGTCCGTAAGGTCTGGGGGTGGATGGAACGTGGGCTCAGGGCCCCTTCCCTCACCCACCGCCCTTGTCTCAGGTTCGAGACCTCCTGAGCCTGGGATCTGCCCGGCCCCTGCCTGTCCGCTGGAACAAGACCCGGGGCTTCTATGTGGAGCAGCTGCGGGTGGTGGAGTTTGGGAGTCTGGGGGCCCTGATGGAACTTCTGCAGATGGGTGCGTGCGTACTACTGCAGGGGTGCTCTGGGGTGGGGGGCACCCATTCCTCAGCCGTTCGGAGCCCCTGGCTGGAGCTGTGGGTTGAGGTGACCCGTGCAGTAGAAAAGGGCCAGCAAGCCAACAATTCAGACACAACCCAGAGATGTTCACCCCACCCCACCCCAGGCTTGCAGATTCTGCTGTCCAGACTCTGGGAACCCTGACGATGGGGTCATGACTCGGCAGGGTGTGGTCAGGGTCATGGTCTCTCTGTCCCAGGGCCCTGCCCTCCCAATCTGTTCCCCCGAGTGCTGCAAACCACATCCCTCTTCCTCTCCAGGCCCCCAGACCTCTCCGGTTTCTTGATGGTACAGGTCATACCTCTTGGGCCAGCCCACGATGTCCTTGCGTGCGTCCCATGCATTCATCAGATATTTATTGAGCAGCCACCCCGTGGCAGGCATCAGGGACAGCGGACTCTGGTCCTGGCTCAGAGTTGTGCCCAGAGCTGGTCTTTCTGCCTCAGTCTCTCTCTCTCTCTCTCCACACAACGGGAGAGGTGTTCCTAAGGCGTGAATCTGACTGACGTTCCTCTGCTCAGTTCTCACCATCTTCCTTTCACGCGTCCGTGCTAGAAGCAGCCCCGCACCTTTGCCCGGGCCCCTCTCCCAGGATGCCCGCGCTGCCTCATCCGTATCGGTGAGCACCTGCTCCTCCTGCCAGGTGCAGCTGCTGCTGTTCTCCCCTCTAGGTCTCAGCCGCCGTCGGAGCTCAGCTCACACCCTGAACCAGGCCTCCAGCCGAAGCCATGCCCTGCTCACGCTCTACATCAGCCGCCAAACTGTGAGTGTCCCCACGTGGGGAAGCAGCTGGCCCGGGGCCACCCACGAGGGTCGGCCTCTGGATGTACAAACCAACTTGGGCATGCGCGGAGGTAATAGTGGAAATCCCTGGCTTTGTGACTTTGGTGGGGACGGCCGCTCCCGAGTCCCCATCGAGCCCCAATCCCCCTGCGCCACAGATGCCTCCAGCAGACCCTGGGGAGCCCCCCGTTGGGGGGAAGCTGTGCTTTGTAGACCTGGCTGGCAGCGAGAAGGTGGCGGCCACAGGATCCCGCGGGGAGCTGATGCTCGAGGCGAACAGCATCAACCGCAGCCTGCTGGCCCTGGGTGAGACGTGGGGCCGCCGGGCGGACGCCTCGAGTCTCCTCTGAGCCTGACCCCCAGCTGTGGGGGAAACCAGAGGAGACGTAATGCAGGGGGCTTGGGAGGGTCAAGAGCAGTGACCCAGGAGCCACATGCCTCCCCCTGTCCTCCCCTCGCTATTGGCTGGTGCCTCCCCTCTTAGGACTTCACGAGTCTGTGAAGCCTGAGAGTTTATAAAGGTGCATTTCTATTGGAGAGAGAAACAGTCGAGTGCAGAGGACGAGCCCTCCGACCTTCAGCCTGTCCCGTGGGCGCTGGGGGAGACTGAGGCCCAGGGAGGGGAAGGGCAGTGACCCTCCCACCCCCACCCCTGGCCACTGGGCCCTGAGCTCCTTCGGGGCTGGGCCCCCAGCCTCCCTCTGCGGCACGTGTGGGGAGATTTTCGGGGAACTCCTTCATTCAGTCCATTTGTCAGACGTTTCCTGCACCCCAGCTGGGTGCCCGGTTCAGGGGTGTTCAGGTCTGTTGGTGGCCCTGGAGCTCAGGGACAGATGAGGCCGTCTCTGCCCTCAGGAGCCCCAGTCTGGTGGCAGAGGCCAGTCTGACTGAGTAACCAGATCTTGTGGGAAGGGGGATTTTCGGGTCACACGGGCCTGGGTGGAGATCCCAGCTCCGTGCGTACTGGCCGGGCGGCCTCGGATGAGAGCTGTAACCTTGCTGGCTTTGCACCCCCACCCAGGTCACTGCATCTCCCTGCTGCTGGACCCACAGCGGAAGCAGAGCCACATCCCCTTCCGGGACAGCAAGCTCACCAAGCTGCTGGCAGACTCGCTGGGGGGACGCGGGCTCACCCTCATGGTACCCGAGGGGGGCAGGCAGGGGGCGATGGCTCCTGAGGGCGGGGGCCCGGAGAGGAGCACTCACAGGCGGTCCCCCCCCAGGTGGCCTGCGTGTCCCCTTCAGCCCAATGCCTTCCTGAGACTCTCAGCACCCTGCGATATGCGAGCCGAGCTCAGCGGGTCACCACTCGGCCACAGGCCCCCAAGGTGAATGGAGGGGACAGGTAGAGGAGACAGGTGGGGCTCGGGCAGTAGCCGGAGCCTGTGTGGTGTCATGGGAGGTCTGGGACTGAGTCAGAGCCCTGATGATGGGGCTGTGATTGGGTAGGGTGGGGTCAGGCTCTCGGGCCGGGTTAGGGCACGTCTGGGGGTCTGGTCTGATCTGGGACATGATTCAGGGGATAGCCAGGATTCCAGTTGGTACCGCGATTAAGTCTGAGTTGAGCTGAGGTCTGACGTAGTGTCTCGTTTGGGGTCAGAACCTGGGCCAGGGTTTGGAACAGGGTCCCGCTGGGAGTAGGCCCTCCCGGCATGCAGCTAAGGCTACTGGCACTTTGATACCATCAGGACAGGGGGCCTCCTGCAGGCGGATGTAGCCTTGTGCCAGGATGCTCAGGCTGCCAGTGAAGCGCGGCTCCTACTCGCCCACCCCCGAAGCCCTTGTGCAGTGCACAGCTCGTACAGCCGTAAACAGCAGCTCTGGGCTTCCTTCTCTGCAGTCACCTGTGGCAAAGCAACCCCCGCGTTTGGAGATTGAGATACTGCAGCTCCAGGAGGAGAACCGTTGCCTGCGGGCCCAACTGGGGCAAATAGACCCCAAGGGTATGAGCTCCCTGGAGGCAGGGGTGGGGCGAGGAGAGGGTCTGGGGCTCCTGTGGACCCAGCCGTCTCCCCCTCCCCTGCAGCCTCAAGGCTCAGTGGGGCTCGGGTGGCCTGGGCCCAGCGGAATCTCTATGGGATGCTACAGGAGTTCATGCTGGAGAACGAGAGGCTCAGGTAGGGCACACCTGAGCCGGGGGGCCTCCGTGCCCCACCCCGACCCCCTGGGCTGCCCCTGCCGAGCTCCCCGCTCCCTACCCGTGGCTACCCTTCTGCCCCGCCTTGCTCCCGGGGCTCGAACTCCCCCGCAGAGAGGGGGGCTCACCCATACCCCCCGGCGGTAGCTGTGCCTCCTCTCACCTTCCTGGGGCCTGCTCCTCCCAGGAAGGAAAAGAGCCAGCTGCAGAGTAGCCAGGCCCGGGCCCGGGATGAACAGCGCCTCCTGGCCCAGCAGGTCCACGAGCTGGAGCGGTGAGCGTGGCGGGCAGCGCGGGAGGCGGGCCTCGGGACACAGGGCAGGCGGGAGAGGGTGGCCCGGTGAACCGGTCGGTGGGGAGTCTGACCTCTGGACCCAGACCACCTGGGTTCGAATTTCAGCTCTGCTGTGTGACCTTGGCTGAGTCCTTTCACTTCTCCCTGCCTGGGCTTCCCCTTCTATAAACTGGGGATCGTGCGGGGCTTGCTTTGTGGGGCTGTTGTGAAGTTTGGACTGAACGAGCTCGTGTGTAAAGCCTTGAGAATGGTCCCTGGCACGTAGGCCGTGCTCCACGAGGCTCTGCTCACAGGGAGACCTGGGGGCCAGCCTGGTGCCGGCCTGCGGGCTTGTAGGCACAGACGCCCTGTTCCCTCCAGGCGCCTCCTCTGTGCCTGCTACGGTCCCCAGCCACGCCCTGGCCCGGCCCCACCGTGTCCCTGTGTGATGGTGCCAGCTGCCCCGTGCCCCGTGAGTCTCTGCCCAGCTGGGAGGGGTGAGCGGCAGCAACGGCCCGAAGCGTCTAACACGCCCTCCTGCAGGCCCTGCCACCCCTCTGCTGCTGCCCCTGCTGCCACCTCTGTCCCCTGTGCCGAGCACCCCTGGCCCACTGGGCCTGCCCACATAGGGATCTCCACCTGCCCCAGGTAGGAAAGGGGGAAGCGAGGGGGTGGGGGAGGTGGGGAGAGGGAAGTGGGGGGAGCTGGAGACTGGTCCAGGGGGTCAGCAGCCTGGGGGGCTCCAGAATCCTGGGGTCCTAGGCTGCATCATGGGGTGAGGGGGGACCTTTGGGCTCCCATGCAGGGTTCAGAAGGGTTGGTTACCCTCCCTCCCCGCCCCCCGCCATCCTGCTGCCTTTCAGGAGCCCACTGAGCCGCTGGCTCACTCACCCCTTCCCTCGCACGTTACTCACTCATGTGTTCATCAGTTCTTTCGGTCCCTCTCCCCCAAGTGCCCAGCTTTGTGCCAGGCCCTGTTCGGGCACCGAGGATTCAGACATAGACCTGGTGTGATTCCTGCCCTCAGGGAGTTCCTCATCTCCAGGGAGGACAGTACGAAGGGAGGGCCACCCGATGCCTGCAGAAAAGGGGACCCAGACCCTGCCCCTTTTGAGGTCACCTGATATTTCTGGTGCCCCGTGGAGGCGGGCTCGGTCAGCGGAGATGGTGGTGCCATGGGGGCGCCAGGAAGGTGGGGCCCACAGAAGCAGGGTCACCCAGTGCGGGCTCTGGTCTTTCCTGCAGGTGATGGGCCCTAAGGCCCCGGGTGACATGCCCCTGTGTTCCCAGCCCCCGCCCTGGGTCCCCCCAGGCAACCCTGGCTCTGCCAAGTGTCCCAGAGAGAGGTGGGCCAGCCCTGGGATGCTGGGGGGAGGAGGGGGAGGCTTGGGACCTCGAAGGCTCACCTCCCACCACCCAACCCACCCTGGCCCAGGAGTCATAGCGACTGGACTCAGACCCGAGTCCTGGCGGAGATGCTGATGGAGGAGGAGGTGGTACCCTCTGCACCCCCCCTGCCCATGGGGACCCCAAACACGCCACCAGTGCTGAGAGGTGAAGAAGAGAGAGAGAGGGGGGCCCCTAGAGGTGTGTGTGTGTGTGTGTGTGTGTGTGTGTGTGTGTGTGATTTTGGGCCAGAACCTACCCTCTCCAGACCTCAGTCTTCCCATCTCTGAAATAGGATGTGTGTTGAGAGGCGATGGTGACATCTTCCCAGTTCCCAAACTTGGAATTCTCTTCCTGGGGCCACCTGTATGTCCCATTGGGTGCAGGAGCCCGTGGTGTATGTTGAGGGGCGGGGGCCCACCTGAGGCTTCCCCAGAGAGTGTGGGGACGCTGATGGGTCTGGGCGGGGAGGGGCCCAAGGGAGCACGGCCTCGAGTCTCTGTCGCTGTGCTCCCCAGGTGGGGCTGCAGTTCCAAACCTGGCCCGGAGACTGGAGGCCCTCAGAGACCAGATTGGCAGCTCCCTGCGACGCGGCCGGGGCCAGCCACCCCCCAGCGAGGCTGCACGGAGCCCCAGCCGCGTCCTCCCGCCCTGCTGAGGGCACAGCAGGAAGCCAGGAGTGCACCGTGTGACCTTGGCTGGGCTCTGCGCTCCCGGGCTCCGTCTCCCCGTCCACTCAGTGCAGCTGCTCTGGGCAGAGGGTAGTGCCCGGGGGCTGTGGGTAGGGACTGGTGAGAGCAGAGGGGAGTAGAGGGAGGGTGGGGCCCCAGACTGTGGGAGATGACACTGGATTTGGGAGAAGCCAGGAACAGGTGATGAAATAGATGAATAAACCGAGGCGTCGGCTCTGAGTGTGGTGTGGCTGGTCCTGTCTCGGGTCCCGGGTCCTGGGGCCACGCCTCAGGCACTTCCTTCAGCCTGGGGCATCCCAGAGAGGAGGGGGCCCTGCGGGGGTGTTGAGGAGGGGGCAAGGACTCTCGGCAGAGTGCGTGCCCCTTCTGATCAGGAATAGTCCAGGTTGCCATCTCCTTCATATGGTGCCCAGGTCTTAACTGAGCAACTACTACATGCACCTGCGCAGATGTGGGAAATCGAATGACGAGCATGTCCGTGCGGGAGGTCCGTGCAGGAGGACGGGTGCCAGCTCATGCCTGTGCCAGCTGCACGTGCCCTGGTGCCAGAGGAACCACGAGATCCGAGTTCTGATGCCACAGACTTGCTGTGACCTCGGGCAGGCCTCGAACCCTCCTCCCAGGGTCACTTTCTGGCATTCAGCCAGTTAGAAGGGGGGGGGGGCGGTGAGGCTCCCTGTCTCTTGAGTTCAAGGAGGGTCAGGAGGTGAAGAATATCTGAATCCCAGGAGGAAGCAACGGGTCTACAGTTTGGGGAAGGTCCAGGCGGGACATGAGACACTGGGGGTGCTGGTGGCAAGGCCTCACTAGAGAAGAAGCCACCGGGGCTAATCTAACGCCCCCACTTTACAGTTAGGGAAACTGAGACCCGTAGGGCTCATTCATTCATTCAACACTACGGGCATGGATGCAAACCGGGGTGGTGAACAGGCCTGACGAGGGACAAGCTGGCTCTGCCCGGGAAGCTCACAGCGGCCGGGTGTCCCACGCTAGGGGGTTCAGCAGCGGAGACGCCGTGGAAGGCCATTTCTCTGGGAGGCAGAGCCCAGGACGGGGGCGGGTGGGGGTGGGGGTGTAATGACCAGACCCACAGGCCCCAGGCGGGCGGAGTGGGCCGCGGTTCGTGGAGTCCAGAGAGTGAACCACACGGTCGCATGTCACCTGCCCCCATGACAGTCTTGGGGATTGAATCCACTTCCAGGTGGAAAGAGTAGGGCACCAGGCCTTGCTTGGGGCAGATGGTCTAGCCAAAGGCACCTTTTGGTCAACATGGGCCATTTGATGAAATCGATGATCTGGGTGCAAACACACACACACACACACACACACACACACACACACACAAATCCGTTCAACAGATCCCCTTGGGGGACCCACCCTGGGCCATTGAACAAAGCCTGAGAATCCTTCCCTCGCAGAACACAGACAAAAACAAACAAGAAAAAGAGCAGAGTACAGGGAACTGGGTGATAAATGCCACGGAGCAAAATCTAGCGAGATGTCCACCTGCCAGGGTGGGCGCAGCCCTAACCGGGGGGGCCGGGAGAGGCCACGGGCAGGTGACGCTCGTGCAGAGACCTGAAGGAGGGGAGGGCGGTGCACCCGGCTGATGCCACACGGTCGCCTCTTTCTCTCTAAGGAATTCTGGTGCCACCTGGGCTCCGGTGGCGGTGGCTCGGCAGGTCCGAGCCTGGGCTCCTCCCCTCCCCGAGCACTCATCTCTCACTGTGTCGGGCCGCGTGCTGGGAGGTCTCCAGCCCCAGGCGGGGACGACCCCTGGCACCGAGCGTGAGAGCTCTCCTCCGGCCTGGGGAGCGTGGACAGGACCACCCAGGGGGACCCTGGCTATTGCTGGTTCAATTCGTGTTTGGAGGAATCCTCCTCCCGCTGGAGCCAGCCAGGATTTTCCAGGCTCCTAGTTCCAGCTCAGCAGAACCCCCACTGACTTCCCCAGAGAGACACTCAAGGACACGAGTCTCCAGCGCCCCACCTCACAGGCCGTGTGCCCGTCTCCGGGTCATCCTCACTCTAGGAATGGCCGCGTGTCCAGAATCCTGAATCCCTGGGGGAATTCCAGAGGACCCCAGTAATGCATCAAGACTCTCCCGGCCCAGGGGTCCTTGCTGAGAGCTTGAGGACTCCAGAGGGCGCTTTTGGAGGGAGGCCTGAACCCTACAGGCCTTCTGCACGATGTTGGAATTTGGGAGGCAGTTCTCTGGAAATAGGGTAGCCGTTCTCCAGAACTGTCAAGCCTGGAAGGTGTCTGTCACATGAAGAATTGAGGGAAGCTCTAGGGAATCCTAAAGCACTGTAGGAATTTTCCAGAATACCAAATCCTTAAATGATCTCTCGGAAATCTTACAACGCTGTGTAGAAATTGGGAGGGACTCTCTGGACTCTGGCTCGGGATGAGGATGTTCAGCAGAGCTTGGAAGGCCAGAAGGCCATCCAGGCGTTTCTAGAATGCTGGCAAATCTGGAGACGGATCTCGAAGTCTAGAGTCCTAGCTGAATTCTCCAGGCCCCTGTGGACCCCACGCCTCCAGGCCGGCGCGGGAACAGGGGCATGGCTGGCGGCGTCATCGCGGGGCACACAAGCTGACGGAAGAACAGGCCTGCGGGTCCTTGGGTCGCCTTCGAGGTCTCCTCTGGGCCATGAGCCCCAAGCTCGACCCCCCGAGGTACAGACAGCGTGAGAGGGTGAAGAGCCGACTGCCAATCCACATGGTCCCTCCTCTGTCCGCTGTGGCCGCACCGGCCTTCTTTCCGATGTGCTTCCCCCCCCCCCCCCCGTCTCCCCGGGTCTCTCCCCGTTGTCTGATGATGCCTTTGCCCCACATTCACCTTCGGTTTGGTGCACAACGGGGTGCGCTCAGCCCCTCTGAGGGAAGGTTTTGTGTTCCCGCAGATGACTTTTTCCCGGGCCGGGTCCTTGTCGAGCTGCACAACAGTCCTCTTCTTTGTTTTCACGCTGGTGCGGGTGGGCGCGGGCCTGCCACGACCCGGGAGCTGCAGCCACCCTTGCAAACAGGTGGTGCTGTAGTGACACAGCAGGACCCGAGTCAGGAGCTGGGCCTCGAAGCCTGCCCCACAGCCGACCCCCCGTGGGACCCAGCCTAGCCACTGACCGGATTCTTGCCAAAGGCCGGCAAGGCCTTGGTAGTATCAGGGGGAGGGGAGGGGAGCTTGCTGGGCTGAGCATCGGGGCGGGGGGGCTTGCTGGGCTGAGCACTGTTCTTTACTAAAAGCCCAGGGGCGCCTGGGGGGCTCAGTGGTTGGGCATCTGCCTTCAGCTCAGGGTGTGACCCCGGGGTCCTGGGATCGAGTCCCGCATCGGGCTCCCTGCACGGAGCCTGCTTCTCCCTCTGCCTGTGTCTCTGCCTCATTCTGTGTCTCTCATGGATAAATAAATAACGTCTTCAAAATAAAGAAAAGAAATAAACCGCTGAGGGCAGAGCCTGGCACCGGCCCGTGCTGTACGAATGCTGATCGCTATTATCATTAACAACGGACGCTGTCCGCACCAACAAGCAGCGTTCCTGTACTTGCCGGAGAGGAATTGTGGCAGTATCTGCTCTCCGGTCACTTCGGACCAGGGAACTGGTGGGCGGCCACCCTGCCGGCTCCTTCCCCTCGGTGGCTCTTCCAGCGTGGACCGTCGTGGGGAGAGAGTGGCCGTCCCGCCGTCCGGTGCAACAGCCGGGGACAGCCCACGCCGCACAGCCGGGGCTCAGAGCCATTGACTCGTCTTCATGGACGGAGGGCCCCGGGGACTTTCCAAAAAGGCCCAGCTTGCCTCGAGGCTTTGGAAAAGAGCTATTTTCATCTGTCCGAGGACATTGGGTGATGAACTGGGTGGGCCAAGAGTCAGGGCAGGCCCCTGGAGGCCCTGCCTTCATGGACCGGTGTCATCGCCCTGGCCACAGGCAGCTCCCTGGACGTTTACTCCCCGGGGAAAGCCCTTTCCTGAGCTGCGCAAAGGGAGCCCGAGGGTGGGTCCCGAGCTCTGTCCCCCGGGTCACAAGGACACGCAGCTCTGAAGTGACTCACTCTGCAAGCGAGGCCGCCCCTCCCGCCGTCGGGAGGCTAGAGTGACAACGTCCAAGGGCACACTCCACTCTGCTTGTCCAAGGAGCGAGAACATGACACGTCCCCACTCATTTCCCTCCCCCTGAGCCCCTCTTCACCCCATTCAACAGAAGGGAAAACTCCGATCCGGAAAGGTGAAGTCCCTGGGGTCACCCAGGCCCCAACGAGTCCTCCCAGCCGCAACGCACAGACGAATTCAAACCTGGGGACTCGAGGAAACGCCGTCCTGGTGCAAAGCCCCTTTGCATCTCGGGTGGACTGTGTCCTTGAGCCTCCCCGTCATTCACTGGTCGTGATTTAAGGACTCAGAGGAGCGACTCCCATCTCCCAGCCTTGCTCGGCTGCCTTCCCGCTGGGTGGGCCTTCTTGGGGCCGGTTCTCCGTCCCGGTGCTTAGGAACTCAATTGGCGTGTGTTCACTGAGCACCTGCTAAGTGCCCAGCATAGCACTGGGTGGGTGTGGCAGGCACGGGCACGCTCTAGGCTGGGGGGGGGGTCGGGGGGACAGGCCTGCGTAAGCCTGACTCCTGCCAGGTGGGGAGGGGGATGACCCGCCCGCTCTGCGCCAGCTGTGCCTCAGTTTCCCTATCTGTGACATAGAGCAACCGTTGTAGTAAAGTGACGGAAGCTTCTGTAAGATGCGCTTGTGGGGCGCCCTGCAAGGGGCCTGGCATGTTGTAGGAATTTAATCCGCCCTGGTGGTCTAAAGCAGTGGCGCCCAAGCCTGGTTCGCCAGGAGGATCTTCCAGGAAACCGTTCTTTTTCTTTCTTTTTTTAAAATTTTATTTATTTATTAGAGGGAGAGAGAGTGTGAGTGAGCACAAGCAAGGGGAGCAGCAGGCAGAGGGAGCAGCAGACTCTGCTGAGCAGAGACCCTGATGTGGGGCCTCGATCCCTCGACCCCGGGATCGTGGCCTGAGCCGAAGGCAGACGCTTAACCGGCTGAGCCACCCAGGCGGCCCGAGGAAATTTCTAAACGGGCCCCATGTAAGCATCCAGCTCGGTAGCTGGAGGGGGGACAGGCCAAGGTAGAGGCTGAGTGGTCTACACTCGCCAGGGGGTCGGAAGCCGACCTGGGCGAGGAAGGCCAGGGTCCAGCGCTGCTTTTACCCCTTCTGTGGGCCTTCGCTCTAGGCCTCCGCTGGGGTCTGCGGGTCTGCGAGGAGTCCGCAGAGCAAACCCGGGTGGACTTTCTAGAAGTTCTCTGCTGCCCTCTAGTGGACACGGGGCACGCTCACCTTGCGTAATCCTCGCGGCGAGCAGGCCCTCACCTGGTGCCCCAGGCTGTGCTGCGCCTGCGATGACACACGTCCCTGCAGTGTGTACTCCTGGGGAGCCCCGAGGACGCTCACAAAGGCCCCTCACTGGGCTCTTAGCCGTGTCACGTGAGCTATTTTACCCTCACTCGCAGGTCTAGAAGAGGAAGGTGAGGTCAGGGAGGGAGAAGCCTGCCCCCACGGTCCCCCAGGAGGTGACAAGGGCTGGGACTCAAGTCTAGCCCTTTGGGATGCGTGGGGAAGAAGGAAAGTCTAGAAATAGCTGCGCAGTGAGCAGGTCCCCTCTGGGGATGCTGGGGTACGGAGTCCCGGGCGGGGCCCCCCACCTCCAGTTGCACCACGAGTGGACAGGCCACACTCCGAGTCCAGCTATCTGCGCAAGGCCTGCGCTGGATACCCCCTCGTGGGGAAGGAAGGCCCCCCTGCCGCCCCCGCCACCCCTGCTCTGAGTCCCACCCCTTCCTGGAGTCCCTCCTTCCTGGAGCCCCCTTGGGCAGGTGCTTTCCTACCTCTTCCCGGATCTCCCATTCCCTTCGGAAAGCCCACGTGCACTCCCCACACACCCCAGGTTACCGGACCAGCAGGTGGGCCCCCGCCCCAGCCTCGCTCTCCCCACTTGCCTCACCCCACCCCCCAAGCTCCAGCTCCGTAGTTTTGATGGTTGGTTGCTTGGCTCATTGGAGTTTTCTTTCCAGATGCTTCTTTGTCCCTCCATCTGCCTCCTCTGTGGCTCCACTGTTGCTCCTCTGCCTGGAGCACCCTGTCCTCCCTCCATGGGCCCCCTTGCACTTTTGCCTGGTGAACTGCTCAGCGGGTTAGGCTCCCCTCCTCTAGCCTCTGCACCCCCCCTCCACGGGGAGTGAGCTCCGGGAGGTCCCTCACGGGCTCCATCGTACCCCCAGCACCAAGCACAGAGGGCGAGCTTGGTCAATGAGTGAATGAATGAGTAAGTGTGGGAGAAGGCCTGGGCCCTAGGGTCAGGCCGATGTGACCCCCAGCTCGGCTGTTAGCTGGGTGACCTTGAACCTATCCCTTCCCAGAGCCCCCATGTCCACCTGACAATGACCCCCCCCACTCCTGCTGCACCTTCTGCCTGGGGAGGCCCCTTCCCCTCGGCTGGGACAGCTTCCCAAGGGACCCATTCCTGGGGACTCTTGGGCCCTGGGCACCCCCAAGAGGGCAGTGGCCCTGGAGCCTCCATCCTCCCGCCTCGATGGCCGGAGGGGGAAGAGGGGTCGGCACCCCCAGACCACGGATGACCTTGCATCCCACGGCGGTCCAGGGTTAATTTTTAAAAAGCAGCTCAAAGTCCAGGTGGGCTTTGGAAGAGTTTGCCCTTTCTGTTTGCTCTGGTTAATAATCTCAGGAGGGCAAACATCCCCGAAGGCGGGCAAAGGGATCAACATCCAGGCCTCGGCGCCCCCCGCCCCCCGGGACGGGCTGGGGGCTGAATGAGCAGCCCTGTGCGGAAGAGGCCAGTGTTTGTCTTTCCCCCGGTGCGGCCCAGCCTCCCCCTGGGGCCGGGGCCTCGACAAGCCCGGTGCCGACCTGCCGGGAAGAGCAGACGAGCCACCGTGGAGCTGTGGGCAACCTTCACGGGGGACAGGGGGTTGGGGGGCCCTGTTCCTGCTGATTCATTGTTGGTTTTTCCTGCTGTGCCAGCTCGGTCTCCCCAAAGACAGGCACCTGAGACCCTCACCGGGCAGGGCAGTGGACAGGCCACGGAGCGCTCTGACCCCCTGCCTCACTCTTGGCAGACGCAGCAGGGCCCGCCAGCTCCGGCCTACAGATGGGGAAGGCGGGCCTCGGAGGGGAAGGTCGTCCGTGGAGTTAGCGGAAAAGAAGTCAGGGCTTCTGGCTCCCAGTTCTCGGAGCAGCTCTTAGTCCGCCTTCCTACCACCACCACTAACTACCCAAACCGTGGGAGATCGAGAAGCCCTGTGAACAAGAGGGAAGCTAACTGTCCCAGGAATCTAAGCCGAGATGGTTGGTGTGACTGAACATGTAACGTGGCTTTGAGCTTCCTGGCGGCCAAAGCAAAAAGGGGGAGAAAATGCCGTCGCTGGCCAAGCCCCCAGTGATAGAGCAAAGGGAGCACGCTGACTAAGGAATAGAGACGTATTTGCCCCCAGTGCTGGGTGGTCGGAAGTATTGGGTGGCTCTTACAAAGGGATGTGACACACCTGCCGGTGCCACTGTGGGGAGGGCTCAGAATTCCTGGATTCTCACGTGAACGCAGGTCTTGCTTCAGGAACCGCATCTGAAGGGGGCATGCCCAGCTGTAGCGGGGGCAGGGCCTTCTGTGAGTGGGGGATGTTCCTCTCTTCACCCAGAGGGCCTGCAGCGGCACTGGCAAGAGTCTGAGCTTTGGGGACAAAGAGGCCTGGGTTTTTAAAAACCTTCATTTAAATTGGCTAATGCAGGGATCCCCGGGTGGCTCAGCAGTTTAGCGCCGCCTTCAGCCCAGGGCCTGATCCTGGAGTCCCGGGATCGAGTCCCGCATCGGGCTCCCTGCATGGAGCCTGCTTCTCCCTCTGCCTGTGTCTCTGCCTCTCTCTCTCTCTCTCTGTATCTCTCATGGGTAAATAAATAAAATTTTTTTAAAAAATAAATAAAGCCAATAAATAAATAAATAAATAAATAAATAAATAAATAAAAGGCTAACCAACAGCAAACAGTGTCCGAAGGCCGCTGCCGCTCCCAGAGAACCACAGCTGGGCGCATAAGGCAACAGAAGCGTACTCCCTCTTGCGTTCCTGGAGGTTAGAAGTCCCCCACCAGACGGTCGGGCCGCACTCGTCCTCGAGTTTCTAGAAAAGAACCCTTGCTTGCCTGTCTCCTAGCTTCTAGTGGCTGCCAGCAGGCCCTTGACTTGTGGCCGCCCCCCTGCCGTCCTGCCCGTCCGTCCCTCCGTCCCTCCGTGTCCCTGAGCCCCGGCGTCTCTCCCGCTCCCCCTGGGCAGGGCCCACCGCCCCGACCACATCCTAAGGTTGCACCCACGGGGGAGGTCGCGGGACGCCAGCTTTGCAGGGGGCACTGTGCTCCACCTGCTACAGAGCATTCGTGCCGGCTGATGGGGGAGCCCCGGCGCTGGGAGGACAGGTCCCTCGCCCAGCGTCAGCGCAGGTGCGGTCTGGCTCCCGAGTCCACCTCTCCGCCGCCACCCGAGGCCGCCTGTCCCAGCAGCTCTGCCTCCCAGCGGGGGGGACCCGGGCAAGGCGCCATCCCTCTCAGACACTCCAGTCCCTGTCTTTAGTTTCTTTTCTTTTCTTTCTTTCTTTTTTTTCTTTTTAAGATGTATTTATTTATTTGAGAGTACGAGACAGAGAGAGAGCGAGCACCCACGGGCAGCAGGGGGTGGGCAGAGAGGAGGGAGAAGCAGACTCCCTGCTGAGCGGGGACCCTCTCCCCCCGACGTGGGACTCGATCCCAGGACCCTGAGATCATGACCCGAGCTGAAGGCCGATGCTTAGCCGACTGAGCCCCCCAGGCGCCCCTCAAGTCCTTTCTCCCTAAAGGGGAAAAATGGCACCAACTTTCTAGGGTTGTGGTGGGGATTGAACTGAGCTCCGTGAAGTGTTGGTGCAGAGCGGGCCCACAGCAGGTGCTCAGGGACCGGAGCTGCTATGGAAATCATTATTATTCCCACTATTATTTGCTAGGGCTGCAGGAAGCCAGGGGAAGCCAGGGGTCGGAGAGGGAACTCTGGGGACAGGGTGCCTCAGTGCCAGTCTAGTCTGGGCCTTTGGCCTCCCTGTGGTCTCCGCTGCTTCTCCCCGGGCCTCCGTTTTCTCCCGTGAGGCAGGGGCCCCATCGGGCTCATTCCACTGGCTCACGGTAGCGCGAGGTCCAGGTGGATGACCCCGCGGGAAAGGCTGCGGGTCGCTGTCTCCTCTTGCAGCAGGTGGCGAGTCTCTGCGGGGAGCCTTTCTGGGGCCTGAACCCAGCCCTGGGCGGCGTCTGGGCCAGGTTGTGTTTGGCCAACGCCTCCTCTGAAACAGCCACTCTGGCCTCCTGGGGACCACTGACCCCGGGCAGGACACTGCAAGGGATCGATCAGACCTGGCCTTGGGGCCCTGATTGGTTCAGGCCGAGGAGCGCAAATACCAAAGTCGCCTACAAGCTGCGGCCCCCTCCCCAGCCTCAGTTCGCAGCCGCTGTGGGCAGGGCGGCGGTGGCTCCTCTGTCCCCGCACCGAGCCTGTGAGTGCCACCGCGGAGAAGAGCCCAGAACCATGTGGAGTCTCGGGGCCCCGTTTCTGCTGCTGACCGCCTGCCTGGCCGCGAGTGCCAGCCCTGTGCTCACGCCGCCCGACGACATCCAAGTGCAGGAGAACTTCGACGTCTCCCGGGTAAGGCCGGCCTGTCTGCGGCCAAGGGAGCAGGGGGTCCGCGCAGCTGGCCCTGCAGGGGGGAAAGCGCCCAATCTGGACCACAGGACTGGGTCCCCGAGGGCCCTTCCTGCCCGGACGGTCTGGGGTGCCCCTGCGGCTCCGTGGGCCTCACGAGGGAGCCTGCGCCCCCGGGCTGCGGGGGGCCCTCGGCCTTCCAGGGCACCGGGCAGCCCACCCTGGGAAAGGCCTTGTGCGGCGGCCACTCCTGCTGCCCGCTCACGGGGCTCAGCTTTGCCCCACTTCCGAGCCCCCTCCCGGCTCCCCAACCTCCCACCACTCGCCTGTCCCCACGAGCCCTGTTACCAGCCTGGTGGCCGACAGAGATCCAGGGGGCCCGGGGCAGACGCGGGACAGTGCGGAGACGGGGCACAGGACAGAGGGGGGCCGTGTGGGCGCCGTGTGGGGAGCCCCAGGACCCCCTTCCAGCCCGGGCGCTGTCCCCGGGCCCTCGGTGGCCTTGAGCCAGACCTGGCGCAGCCGGGGCTCTCGGCCCTTCCAGCTGCGGGTTTTGTCTGTGCTCAGAGCCGAGCAAGGGCCGCGGGTGGAGGGCACGGGAGCGGGGGCCGTGATGTCAAGGCCCTGAGGCTCGTGGCTCCTTCCTCAGCGCCCGGGAAAGAGGGAGCAGGCTGGACCTGAGCTAGGTCTGGGAGGGGAGAACTTTCCAGCGAGGCCCTGGGCTGCCTGCAGGGCGAGCTCCTGTCCCGGGAGTGGGGGGTGGGAGGAGACGACAGCGGACAGCGCTCCTGCCCTGCGGGGCAGCAGTGGAGGATGACCTTCGACCTCGGGGATCTGGCCTCATCCAAGGAGCCGCACAGATCCTGTGCCTCCGCCCAGCACCCCGGGACCCCACCTGCACCCCCGGCCTCCTGGGCTCTGGGACAGGACAGCCTCGGGGTCAGAGGATGGGGGGGCGGGGGTCCGGCAGCGCAGACCCTCAGAGCGTGTGGCTGCTCCTAGATCTACGGGAAGTGGTTTCACGTGGCCGTGGGCTCCACCTGCCCGTGGCTGAAGAAGTTCATGGACAGGATGTCCATGAGCACGCTGGTGCTGGGCGACGGGCCGACCGACCGGGAGCTCAGCATGACCAGCACGCGCTGGCGGTGAGTGGGGGGATGGGCTGGGGGCCTGGAGAGTCATGATCGCCACCCCCAGCTGGGCCTTGCCTCCGAGCCCCCTCCCGGCCCTCCACTGGGCTCTCCTCGGGGCCAGCGCCCCAGCACGTGCCTGTTTCCAAGCCTGCCCCCCACCCCCCCACCCCGATCCTTGGGTGTCCCTTGGCTCAGGCAGGGCCCCTCCAGCCCCTGGGACCCGACCTGGAAACCCGGAGGGAGGGGTGGGGTCGAGATTCCTCTCTCCGCTGCCACAGGCCGCCAGCCCACCCTCAAGCCCTGTCCTTTCTCTGCAGGCCCTCCGCGCTGTCCCTTCTCCCGTCTGTCCTGTCCCCGCCCTGACCCCTGCCACCTGCCCTACAGCTTCCCCTGCCTCCAGTCTCAAACCTTTTACCAGCAAGCAAAAGGCTCTTGAAAACTCAAGTCTGCTTAAACCTTTCCTCCGCTTAAGCCCTTCCTGTGGTGGAAAGTCACCTCCTTTGATGTGGCCTCCGAGGCCCCTCCCAGCCCTCACCAGGTACTCTGTGAGCCACCCAAGTAGACCTTTCAGATCCTGGAACCCTCCACCATGTTGCCCCCGATGTTCCTTCTACTGGGAGAACCTCTCCCCATCGCCCTGGGCTAATGCCTGTGGATCCTTTAGGACTCAGTTCTGTGTCACCTCCTCCAGGAAGCACTCTCTGACCGCCATCCCCCACCCCCACCGCAGCCCAAGGTTCAGGTGACATGCCTTCCTGTGGCTTCTCCTGGCCTGGCACTTACTCTCTGGCCTGCCCCCAGGCCCCGCTCAGTAGTAAGGGCACTGGGCCCACAGAGTCCGTCGTGCCCTCCTCCGCATCCTCAGCATGTGGCGCAGGGCCCGGCACATGGATGTGGGTCGCTCGATAAACATTAGCAAGCTCATTCACAGCCGTCGTAACAGCGCCTGGTCCGTGCGTAGTGCTGGCAGCTGTTCGGGGGATCTTGTTGGATCCTCGCAAGGATCCCACATGAGGCTTCATTATCCCCACTTCACAGATGGGGGCCCTGGGGCCAGAGAGATGTGGGGTGACAAGCGCATGGAAGCGTTTGTTGGTCACCCTCCCTCCACGTGCGTCAGTGCGCGGGGCAATCTTGGCGACGGAAGCAGATACTTAGTGCTGGTCCTACCAAGGGGATGGCGTGGACTAGCCCCCCTCTGTCCCTCTGTCCCTTCGTGTGTGAATGGGTCCCCTAGGCCTGGTGGGAGGCTCAGACGCGACATCTGGGAGGGTTCCTTTCCAAATTCAAAAAAAAAAAAAAAAAAAAAAAGCAAGGAGAGGACCCTGCAAGAGGGTGGGCGTCGGGACAGTGGCCTGTAGCGGCGGCCACCTTTCTTCCGGTCTGTCCCTCTCCAGGAGAGGCACCTGCGAGGAGATCTCCGGGACTTACGAGAAAACCGGCACCAGCGGAAAGTTCCTCTATCACAAACCCAGTGAGTTGAGCTGGAGGCGTCGCTGCGTGTCTGCCCTGGGCTGGAACAGACCCTGACCCCGCGGGGGCTCGGAGGCTCGCTTTCTTCCTGCCTCTGCTCTCTCCGCCCCTAAAGCCTTCCTTCCCATTGTTCTGAGATGTTCTCTAGGCTTCCTGGACATTCCTCCCCTTCCTCCTCCTCCTCCTCCTCCTCCTCCTTCTTCTTCTTCTTCTCTCTCTCTCTTTCTCTCTCTCTCTCTCTCTCAAGAGCATCCAGAATGACAGGGATGGTGCCGAGTCCCGGGGATAATCCATGTAGAGGATTTCATCAGGCCTCGTGGTAGGCATCTGGAGTCGGCTGATAGGGGCTTGCTAAGCACCTACCGTGGGCAGGGTTCGTGGTGCCAAGTGACAGAGGGGCCTGGACGTGAATTTATTCATTCATTCAGCACATGTTTCACAAATATGCTCTATGTGTCAAATAATTGTATCAGTGGTTGACTATACGAATGCTTGGGGAGATGGATAGTTGGATTAAAAAACGAGCGAGAGGAGAAGCAGCAAAGGATTGGTAAATGAATGTATATACGGATGGCAGGTAAGGAGTTAATCAGTCATCTAATAGATCGATTGATAGATTAATGGATGAAGGAAGGAAGGAGAGGAGGTAAGGGAGGAAGAAAGGAAGGAAATGGATGGATTTATGGTTTGATGTATGGAGAGGATGGATGGATGGATGGATGGATGGATGGTGGATGGATGGGTGGATGGGTGGATGGGTGGATGGATGGGTGGGTGGGTGGATGGATGGATGGGTGGATGGGTGGGTGGTTGGGTGGGTGGGTGGATGGATGGATGGATGGGTGGATGGGTGGATGGGTGGATGGATGGGTGGGTGGGTGGGTGGGTGGATGGATGGAGTGACGGTCAATGAATTCATGAGAAATATATGGAGGAGACAGGTGCATAGACAGAAGAACGGCTGAGTAGATGATGTGTGGGGGAACAGGGAAGGACCTCAGGCTAGAAGAGCCTTCTGACCACCGATCCCCATGGCTTCCTGCATCCCCCGTGCAGAGTGGAACCTCACCATGGAGTCCTATGTGGTCCACACCAACTATGATGAGTACGCCATCTTTCTGACCAAGAAATTCAGCCGCCACCATGGGCCCACCATTACTGCCAAGCTCTATGGTAAGGGCCGGGGGCTAGATAAGCTCGCAGGAGTTGCGAGTAGGAGGAAGTCTGAGATTCAGGAATGGGGAAAGAGTCAAGAGTTTTGCTTTATCCTTCTGAGAAAACTCCAGTTACGGGAAAGGTGGAGACATTTACTCTCCCTGAAGGAGCCAGAACTCAGTCTCTGACCTCTTGTGGTCTTTAAAATTCCAGACCCCAAGAATCCCAGAGCTTCTGGGCCCTTAACAGAACCAGCAGAAAGAGCCCACACGTGGAGATGTGGGGGGCCTGGGTGGGAGCCCGGGAGGGACACCTCCTCCTCCGGTGGAGCCCATCTTTCCATAATCGTGTTAAAGAGATCACATTGGTTTGTGAGTTTTCAACTTCTGAAGGAAAATCACTGGGCAAAATAATCGCAGGCCCTGGCATCCCAGGCACCCAGGGTTCTGGGCATCTTCTCTGCTTCCCATTGCAGGGCGACAGCCACAGCTCCGAGAAAGCCTGCTGGAGGAGTTCAGGGAGGTCGCCTTGGGCGTGGGCATCCCCGAGGACGCCATCTTCACCATGGCCAACAAAGGTGGATGCTCCCCACCCCACCTCACATTTCTGTCCCCTCCTCATTCTTCACAGCCCCCAGAGAACGCCTTCTCAGCCCCTGGGTATTTCCTACAACCCTCTGAGCTAAGTAGGGTTATGGTCTCCCCAGCCCGCTACAGAGAGGGCAGCTGGGGAGCCCCTGTCTTCGCAACCAGGCACACAGCATATACGTAGCAGAGCCGAGATGAGATTCAGCGTCCACCCTGGTGCCACCCGTTTAAGTGAGGTTGTATCCAGAATCCGTAGGTGCCTATTGGGAGGCAGTTCAGTGCTGGTGTTAAGAGTATGGGCTCCAGAGTTAGAGTTCTGAGGTTCAAGGTGAGGTGTGTGACGTCTGGGGAGTCAACCTTCCGGAGCCTTACTGTCTTCATCCCTAAAATGGGAGGTAGGAACGCCTCCCTTGTAATAGTGGCTGTGAGGAGTCGTTGAAAGAAAGCCGTTAAATACAATAGCGCTGCGCCCAGTGTCTAGTGAGTGCTCGATAAATGTTAGCCATCGCTGGGCCCGTGATGGTGCTGACGGCAATGATGGTGCGGCCACCAGCCGGTGGCTTTTCCAACGAATGAGCCATCCGTGAAGGGGGCTAATGCCCAAGGCAGTTCCTAGCGCGGTGCCCACCTGGCACACGTGATTACCGTATGGAAGAAACAAAGCCCTCTTGCTCACCTCTCTCCCCCGTCCTGACCTAGGTGAGTGTGTCCCCGGCGAGCAGGAACCAGAGCCTTCTCCATACATGGTGAGCACCTCTTTTTCCTGCTTATCCCACCCCTCCTGCCTGATTTTTGCTGTCCTCGCTTAGATCCTGCGGTGGTGTGTGGGTGGGGTCACCGAGCGGGGTTGAGAGAAGGCAGTGATAGGCCTGGGGCCTTGAGGCCGACACTCGCAGGGCTCAATCCCAGATCTGCCATCTGGGCCACGTGCGGCCTCATCCAGACTTCACTTTCCTTCTCTGTGGTATGGGGTAGCTACCCTTACCTTCCATGTGCTAGAATTCAGTGACGTGTCGGGAAGCTTCTTAGCCCCGTACTGCCTACAACCAGGCCAGTACTCAGTGACGAAATAGCGGTGCTCAGTACTCAGTAAATAAAAAATAAAGTCATTTGAGCTCTAAAAAAAAAAAAAAAAAGAGGGACGCCTGGGTGGCTCACTGGTTGAGTGTCTGCCTTTGGCTCAGGGTGTGATCCTGGGGTCCCGGGATTGAGTCCCACGTCGGGTTCCCTGCGGGGAGCCTGCTTCTCCCTCTGCCTGTGTCTCTGCCTCTCACTATGTATCTCTCATGAATAAATAAATAAAACCTTTATAAAAAATAGTAAACCTGAGAGCAAGCAGCTTCTCAACCAACTCGCCTCTCCTGTTCTGCCTTTTGATTTTTTTGGGCTTCGTTACTCTTCTGTTTTATTTTCCTGCCTTTACCATATTGATGAAGCTTTCTTCATTTTTTTTCTGTGATTATTTGGAAATGACACATCCTAATTTATCCTACTGTTGTGTGTGTATATTATGTGTGCGGGTGTGTATATTTGTATATATTTATATACATAAATATATATTTCTTATATATATATAAACTTTCAAGGCTATGTTTCTAAACAAGTACATATTCTAAATATATCAGATACAGGTCTGAAAATTTTTTAAAAATACAAGAAAGTAAAAAAAAGATAACAGCGTCCTTATTCCTACATAGAATCGATACCGTTAACATGTTGTCTGTTGGCGCCTGTATTTTTAAAGAGAAAATACCACCGATCTTATAAAGCTGACATATACTCATTATAAGGAATTGAAATTTAAAAATACAAATAAATAATGTTTAAAAATAAATAAGAAAGAGTTGAAATGAGGCAGAAACTATCTAAATAAGAGTCAAAAAAAAAAAAATGCCACCACCCAAAGCTACCAGCATTCGCATTATTCCAGGAATCGTGACGCGCCCACATGTGGAGAGGAGGACAGATAGAAGGAATGTTCCAGCGAGCGATGCACAGATTTGGGCATAGAGTTAGGAAATGGCATTGTATCTGAGATTCCAGGTCTTAAAAGCATTAGGCGTAGTTTTATTTGAATCTTTTAAAAAATGAGTGGGGTCTCGCGCTTCCAGGCAAGCATCTGCCGCCACCTTCCCCAGGCCCTGAAGACGAGCTCTGTAGGTTACTGGATTCCACCCTCACGCCTATGAACACAACCACGGCCTCTCCATTCCCGAGTTACTGATTTCTATTCATCCCTTAATTAACGCCGTTTCGTCACCAAGTGGTGTTTTCAGGGCACGCTCTAGGAGTTTTAATCTCTGAACTCTTGCCTGAGAAAGCCTGCCCATTTCCTTCATACTTGAATGGCATTTTGCTTGGGCGTCAGATTCCTGGGTCATGCTTCCCTTCCCTTGCAACGTGCTCTGCGCCGCTGCGTTGTTCTTCAGCACGAATCATGGCTCTGGGAGAGCCTGAGGCCGCTCTGATATTTCTTCTCCTTGTAAGCAGTTTGCTTCTTTCTGCCCAGATGCCTGGGCAAACTTTATCCTTGAAGATAATCTACATCTTTTTTTTTCCTTTCCTTTTTTTTCCTTTTAAGTAGGCTCTAAGCCCAACACGGGGCTTGAACTCACCACCCTGAGATCAAGAGTAGCGTGCTCTGCCGACGGAGCCCGCCAGGTGCCTGCAGTCGGCATCCCAACCAGGGCATGTCGTGGCGTTGAGAGTCCGCATCAAAATTTTCTGGCGTACAGTGTGCTCTTTCCGTCCCCAGATTGCATCCTGGCCTAGGGGGCTCTCTGGCACTATTCGGAATTCCCCTTCCATTCCCTTCCATTCCCTTCCTGGGTTTTGCTACCTCGGGAACACCTGCTCTCTCCTGGGGCGTGTTTGTCTTCCGCACGTACTAGGTGTTCTCACGTTGCTTTCGCCCGTACTCCCTGGGATTCTCAGCAGCCTTTCTTCTGGGACAGTCCTTCCATTTAGCAGCATCCGTCCTGTCCCTTGCTGTTTCTGACTCATTCACTAGCTCTGGGTGAATCTAGTCTTGGTTCTCAATTTGTTTATCTAGGGCCCGAGTTCTCACTTTTCACCTTACTCTGTTTACCATTTTGTCTTTGAGTCTTGTCTTCATAAATACGTGTTTTCACTAAGGAGTATTCCGTAGCTTGGGGCCACTGAGGAATGTCCGTCTGCTTGTTGAGGTACGTCTTCTCCTAAGTTGGTGTCGTAGGGGGGGGGTTCCTGGACCCATACCTGTGGAAGGAAGGGATGAGGGGAGGAGTGAGCAGAAGGAGAAGCAGAGCTGTGAGGTGCTCGCGGTGCCTCAGTCAGCCCTGTGGGAGCTCTAGAACTGGGACGGCCCTTTGGAGTTGTCCCATGAGGGCGCCAAGGGGCCCCCAGGTCCATCAGTCTGGGGAGGAAGCGTGACCTCGAGCGAGAGGGGTCCCGTGAGTGGAGGCAGTCTCCAACAGGGGTTGCCGGCTCAGCTGGGAATGCAGGTCCATTCCCGAGGGGACGTCTAGGCCGTCGTGACCATGGCCACCACCGTCAGGCTCTTTCTCTGCTTCAGGCGATGTCCTCTTTCAGACACGGGGCTGGATTCCCTGTACCATTTCTTTTTCTCTTGCGCCTGCTTAGTTTTTGCCGTCTGTTCTGATGCGGTGGGGTGGGGGTTTCATTACTCCTTGACCCTTTCCCCACTAACATTGAGCCGAGTGCCCTCCTACCCAGATGTAGTCTCAGGTCTGGGGATTTTGGGTTCCATCTACTTTTCTGAAGTCCAAGGAAAGGGTGGGAAGGGACGGGGTGGAAGAGCTCTCCTCGGGTGTGCCGTCTTGGTTGGAATACCCTTGCTTGCTTTCTCTTTTGAAGAACTTCTAAATGTCCTATGTGGGGTTCATGCCCCCCCCCCCCCGCATTCAGGGCAGGGACGCACATCTGTCAATACCCCCAGTGCATTAGATCGTGTTGCCCCAGAACCTACACTTAGAGAGAGTCAGCCTCTGGTCCATTTTCCTCTTTTCTTCCCAGAAGTCATCTTCACCGCTCTTGTCAGAAGAAGAAAAAGAGAGGGGCCCTCAATTCCCTTCTCTCAGGATTTGGGAGTCTTAGGGAGAATTATCAAAAATTTGATGACTTGGGAGTTAGAGGGCAGAGCTAGGAGCTGACCATTCTGTTCAGCTCCAAAAATATTTGATTTTTTTCCTTCACCAACAATCCTGGTTTTTGCTTTAAACTATGCCCCTTTCCTTGACTGAGTGATGCTGATGAACATCTGGAGATTGGTATTCTGGATTCATTTTTTTTTTCCTGTTAGGCATTGAAGAAGGCAATTTGGAGGGGACTTTCAATCTGCCACCTTCATCCAGATCTCGGGGTGGGGGGGTCTGTATTTCTTTATCAGTGTCAAGAATGAAACCATAAATAATGACTCCCCTTGCACAAAAAGAGAAATGGAGCACACTTCCATTTCCATTTCTTCCTTCCAGGCTTCCCACATGTCTGTCTTTGTGGATGTGATCTGAGATCGATGTTTATATTGTCCACCTTTTGAGAATTACTTTGAACATTTACAGTAAGTTGTATGACCATCGTAACAGTCACTTAGCCTCAACTCTCGGTTTGATTGGCTTTATGGTTTTTACCATCATTTCTTTGCTGTCCCATCACCTGTTTCCTTGCACTTAGATTCCCTTTTCAATCAGTGGGAATATATATATTTTTTAAGATTTTTAAGTAATCTGTACATCCCACGTGGGGCTCAAACTCACACCCTTGAGATCAAGAGTTACATGTTCTATCACCTGAGCCCCCAGCCAGGTACCCTGGAATATTTCTAGAAGTAGTGGGGATTTTTTGTTTTGTTTTGTTTTGTTCTGGATAAACACGTGGACGGGAAACTGCTGGATCCTGACATGTGTGTAGATGTCTGGCTGTCTGTCTATGGCATGGCCAACTCCTTGGATGAGTACAGAATCCCGGGGTACCACCTTTCCCCTCTTAGGACCTCAGATGCTGCTAGTTCCTCCAAGGGCCCCTGGGCTCCTTATCCTTTGTGTCTAGGGAATGTCAAGGCGAGGCTCTTCATTCATTTTGCCACATTCCCTTTGATCCCTATTGATAATTGGACAACTCAAGTCTTTCTTCAACTCCGAAAAGTTTTCTTCTAGGATTTCTATATCGATCCCCTCTCCTTCTAGAATTCCTACTGTGTGAATGTCTTTCTTAGAATCACTGACCTACAGTTTCTTATGTCTACGGTGTGGTTCAAGTCAACGAAATCCTTTCCATGTCTGGTAGCTTCCCTACTTCTTTCCTCCACTTCATTTCCATAACCGTTGGCCCCTGTGCTATTGATGCAGCGTCATCTTGAATTTCATTGATGATTTAAGTTTTCTCCTGCTTCTTACTGTCATCCTGGCTCTGGTGGAGAATTTCTCTAGCTCAGCCTGATTCTTCTGAGCAGCTGCATTCTTTGAGTTGTTCCACAGGTTTTCTATTTTCCTTCGCCCTCCCAGGGAAGGCCTGTGTGCCACCAGCTTGACAGTGGGGAGTCCCCGATCGTGGCTTTTAGTCACACCTTCAAAGGAGAAGGGCAATGTTGAAGGTTACTACAGATCTTTCTCAGATACTGGATCTGTCTTGAGGAGAGAGACCGCCTGTTGGCTGGCAGTTTCCCTGCTCATCCCTAATGGCCCCCGAGATCCTGCCTCAGTGGGCTGTACATGCAGAGAGCCTTGGCCCGCTTTGGCATCCTGCCCTGCTCTTCAGTCCTCGTCACCACAGTTCAAAGTGTTAGGGTCTGTCTCGAGGTCCCTTCTCCATACTCTCCGGGTGGCTTTTCCTTTGCAGGCACCTAATGATGATGGTCTGGCCAGGCCCTCCTGCAAGCCAGTCATGTCCGTATCCTCCGCCGTGTAGAAATGCCTTCAAGCTCCTAGCACAGGAATGCTGCCCTTCCCTGGTTTCCAATTCAGATAGTTTCTTTCCCACCATTATTTTATTCCTTTGGAAATTTCAACTAGAATTTGGACACTGGGGTATTGCTTTACTTCATGGTTCTGATTTTCCTTTCAGATCAGAAACCTGCCCTGGGATGCCCATTCTGGGATTCAGGTTGACGCTTTGGGGAAGACCGTCACTTAATCATATAGTAACAGGGCTGCCGTCTACACCCTGATCCCCAAAGCTCATGGTCTGTCTATATGTTCCAGGGGTGCAGGTGAGCGATAGTGGCAAGGTCCTCGCAACAGCTTCTCTTTCTCTCTACTGCAGAGAGCCCGGCGGGCTGTGCTGCCCCAGGAGGAGGAAGGATCGGGCGCCGGGCAACTAGTAAACACTGTCCACAAGAAGGAAGGTAATGGCCACTCGCCTTTCCACCCCCTTCTGTCATGCTCCCTAGAGGAAGGGCCTGTGGGCAGCTCTCCCGGGCTGCCCTCACCGTCACGAAGTCTCTTTCTTATTTGTCTGCTGGTCAAGGCCGGGGACTAGAAGAGGTAAATCAAGGCCTCTGTGCGGTGCCAAGGGTCGGGGGGTGGCCCCTGGGCTCAGGAACTCGCAGCTCCAGGAGAAGCGAGTTCTGGCCTCATCTGTACCACTGCGTGGCCTCCAGCCTTGGTTACTTCGTCGCTGCAGCGGGACGGCGGCCTGCTGCGCTCACCATCAGGGCCTTCGTGGGGGCGAGTTGGGGGAGGACGTGAGGCTGCTCTGTGTCGTTGACGGTGTTCACGAAGGACTCACTCTCCACCTTGCTCAGCCAACACTGAGCCCACCTCACCCTGTGGAGGGTACTGGGGTCAGGGAGACAAACCCATGTCTTTTTGGAACTTGTGGCCTAGTAGGGGAGGCAGGCAGGGAAGGAATTGATGGACCCCAAGGGAAGGTTAGCGGAGGGGTTGGGGGAGCTCAGGATGGAGGGTCAGGGGACCAAGGAGTACTTCCTACATGAAGGGGGATTCATGCTTCGCCCAGGTACCCAGGGTGGGTTCTATGGAGGACGGCATTTCAGGGGCAGGAACGAGGGGGAGCAGGGGCATGGCAGTGGGACCCCAGGGCAGAGGTGAGGCTGGCTGGCTGGGGCCTGGCGAATGGGCTGTCACCTACTACGATCACAGTCTCTGGACGGACAAGACCAACAGGGCAGGTGGTGGGTGGTGGGTGTGCGGGTTGCTGGGCTAAAGAGTAGAACGGGCACTGATTTGGGGTCCAGCAGGCACATCATGGTTCTGAATGTCAGTGCCGTGTGCTCCTGGGTGGGTCACCCTGCCTCCAATGTCCTCATCCCTAAGATGAGTTGACCGACCCCTCTGAGCGCAGAGGGGCAAACCAGACGAGATGGGGCACGGTCAGCACCCAGGCTGGCGCCGGGCCCACTGCGACACTCAGTGCTGCCGCCGGCCCCCCGCAGATGCCTGCCAGCTGGACCACGCGGAAGGCCCCTGCCTGGGGATGGTCACCAGGTATTTCTACAACGGCTCCTCCATGGCCTGTGAGACCTTCCAGTACGGCGGCTGCCTGGGCAACGGGAACAACTTCGCCTCCGAGAAGGAGTGTCTGCAGACCTGCCGCACCGTGGGTGAGCGCCGGCCCCTCGCCTCCGCGCCCCGCACCCTCGGACCCCCGGAGACGACGCCGGGGTGGGAGCCCAGGGCCGGCTTCCCGAGTCACGGGAATTGCACGCTCAGATGCGGGTGTGCCAGGTGAGGGGTTGCTTTTCCTGGGCCCCAGCTCCGGCCCCGGAGGAGCCCCTGGGTGTCCAGCCGAGCCGGGCCCGCCGGGCCTCAGGGCTGCTGACGCCCCCCCCTGCCCCCCAGCGGCCTGCAGCCTCCCCATCGTCCCCGGCCCCTGCCGAATGCACCAGAGCCTCTGGGCCTACGACGCCGTCCAGGGCAGGTGCGTCGGCTTCGTGTACGGGGGCTGCCAAGGCAACGGCAACAAGTTCTACTCGGAGAAGGAGTGCAAGGAGTACTGCGGGGCCCCGGGCGCCGGTAGGTGGGCCCCCGGCCGGTGTGGAGGGGCACGTCGGGCCCAGCGGGGACCTGCCCACCCGCCCCCCACCTGTAGGCGGGGGCTAAACATCCCGTGGGGTCCCACGCAGGCCGGCCGCGCTGGGCGGGTGCCAGGCTGAGCCCCGGTGCTTCGTCCGTGAGATGGGTCGGAGGGCCCAGCTGGCGGGCCCCACGGGGCCGGGTGCACTCAGGGCGCGGCCACCGGCACGTCACCGATCAGCGAGCGGGGGCGCCAGCAGCAGGGCATTCCAGGGGGCGGCAGCCAGCGGACCCCCGGGTCTCATCCCCCGGGCGAAGGGCGCTTCGGGTAAACCGGCAGGGGCCAGCACCCAGGTCCCCCTGGGCAATGCGTCCTGGAGACCCCAAGTCTCCGGCAAGCGGGAGGTTCTGGCTTCAGGCGCGGGTCCCAAGTCAGCCCGGCGGCCTCCCGTCACCTACCAGGCATCCCCGTCCCGAGTGTCCCCTGCCCCCAACGCCCCTGGGTGCGCCCCGCACCTGCTCCCCGAGCCTCTCTGTGTCCGCAGGGGACGAGGAGCTGCTGCGCTAATCCAGCGGACCTGTCCACGGGCCACAGCGGGGCAGGGGTGCAGGCTGGTGCCCCTCCCCCCCATGCCCGCCCCGTGCCCGCCCCTGTGCCCACCCCCGTCCCCCACGGCAGGCCGGGCCGAGCGACCCTGGTTCAAAATAAAAACCCAACGGAGGCTCCTGAAATCCCGAGTCGTGACTGTTCACCGTCCTGGCGAGTGTTCCGAGGTAGCGGGTCGGGGCGGGGGAGACAGGGCTGGGGATGGCGGCGGGAGTAGCCCCAGCTTCCCCCTGAAATGAAAAACGTGTTGAAAATGTAGTAGAACCGTCCCCAGGACGTGCAGCTATCAAAGGACCAGACGTAAATCCCAGTTCTGTTCACTCGCGGTATCAACGGGGCTGTTTGAATAAAGCCAGAAAGGAAGAGCGGGAAGGAAAGCCCCGCGTCCGTGTCCTGGGGAGCCTGACAGTGCCCCTGGGTCAGGAGGCGACACTGCCCTGGGAGGGAGGCCCCGCGCGGGTCCGGGCCGCCCCGACTCCCAGTCCCGCGTTCACGTGGCCACAGCCGCGTCCCGGGGGCCCCGGGCCTCTGCCCGGCAGGAGCTCACGGCCTCTGCGCGTCCGGGGCGACCAGCGAGGGCCAGACGGGCCCACGGCCCAGGTGGCTCAGGCACCGACTCGGCCTAAGGGGGCGACTGCGGGAGCCCCGAGCGGAGCCGGGCCCCGAGGCGGCAGCAGGCCCGTGGCCGGGGCAGGCGCCCCTCCCAGGGGAGACCAGTGCCGAGGGGCCGTCCTGGGCCAGTAGCCCACGGGCTGGAGTCCCGCGGGGAAGGACGGAGGCAGGGGACGAGCCCCGGGGCAGGGACGAGGACTGCGGAAGGCCGGGCGGCCCGCTCGGCCGGACCCCACGAAGACCCCCGCGTCCCCCGAAGGTCCAGGCCTGGGCTTCCAGCCGCCAACAGAGGCCGGTCCCGAGGACGGTGCCGGTCACGGGCCACCGCCAGGCCTCTCGGGCAGGACACAGGTGAGGCGCTCGGGGAAGAGACAGGCTCTCCGCCCGGACAGAGGTCACCTGTCCTACGGCCGGGCCTGTCCCCCGCCCCCGCGCCGCACAGACCAGCTCTGGCCACCTGCCGCTGGGAGGTGCTGGCTCGTCAGGGATGTTTTTGTAATCCCGTGGTTCCTGGGGAGTCTCACCTTAACGGTACTGGTCACACCTGTCACCAAACCCAGGGCTGCTTAGTAACGTCCCCTCCACGGCCCGAGGCTGGCCCTTGGGCCGCGGGGAGGTCTGGGCCGCGCCCTGGGCCCTCTGGCACCGCGACGCCGAGCTCCCGGCTCCCGGGGGGGCAGGACCCGTTCAGCCGCCGGGACTCCCGACTTGTCTTGCCCCGCGTGGGACCTCCCCGAGGACACGCCAGCCGCTCCTGCGAGAGGTCCCCGTGGTCCGGTCCGCGTCGCAGGCATCGCCCACGGGAAGGCCCACGTCCCCCGCGAGGGGCCCGGCCCGCAGCCGGCTCCCCGTGCTCCCCGTGCTCCCGGGGCAGCTGATGGGCCACGAAGCACGCCCTGCCCGGGGAGAGCGCGGCGGCCGAGGCGAGACAGTGGGCCTTGGGGCGGAGCGGCGGACAGCGGACAGCGCACACCCGCTCTCAGGGTCACCCTTGCGGCCCCTCAGGTCCCGCTCGCCTTCTGGTGGCATCTTCTCTCCTCGGACTTGCCCTCAGCTCTACTGGAAGCACCGATGTGCGTGTGTCTGGGGTGTGAGGCTCTGGGTGAGGCCCGTGAAGTCCGCCCAGGCCGGTGCCCCGAAGCGCACGCATGTGGGTCACAGGCGTCATCCAAGGCTGCTGGGTACAGGGTCACGAGGGGCAAACAGTGCACATGAGGGACTCAGGTCAAGCTCACCCTCTTCCCTTGGCCGATGGTCTCCGCAAGCAAGGCCCCGTGGGCTGAGCCGGGCTCGGCTAGGGGCTGACCCCCGGGCCCGCCGCGTCCCTGGGCACCGACTCTGGCCCGGGCACGCCCAGGGGCCCCGCTTCTCACTGGGTGACATGGCCCCACGCCAAACCCAAGAAAGACCACCACACACCACCATCTTCCTAAAGGTTGTTTTATTGTAAAACCATAAATACAACACCGACATGAAATCATTTAAGTAACTGATCCTCTCTAACCATTAAAAGGATGTCTTTTTGCCTTGGCATCAACCAACTGGGAAATAATGTTGCAAGAATTCGGGGGGGTTGGGGGGTGAATTCTGGGCTAGGGCTTTTGGCGATTTAAGGAACCAAGTGGAACCTTCCTCTTCTTCCTGGGAATGGCCCACTTTCGGACGAGAACAGACAGGTAAAAACAGCAACATTTAAACAGCTCAGTTTTAAATTTTATTACTCTGTAAAAATCTTTTTTTTTCTTTTCTTCTTTTTTTCCTGTTCCTTTCCTCCATTAGACATCAGAAAAAGTTTTAAACATCACGAAACTGATTTTGGCTGTAAATGGAGATAACGGTACCAAAACAAAGTGAAACGAAAAACCCAAAGGACAAACAGAAAACCCTAAATAAACCCTCAAGTTTGGTCTCGGGGGTTTTACAGATCACAAGAACCGTCAACTCAACCCCCATGCAACGTGACTCCTTGGAGAGCTGTTGGATCCACACCAACGACACAGGAGACCGCAAACAACGTCTTTTGTTAATTAACACAGCAAGGGTGACACTAGGTAACTTTTTTTTTTTTAAATACAGTACATGGTACACAGAGTCCCAAGATGGCCCTGCATAAACCCCTCGTGGAGACTGGAGCCAAGCACTGGCTGTTTATAAAAATATTGTGTTGCTACAAAAGTATAAATTAATGCTACCGGTATTAAGAAATATTAAACACATAAAACTTATAAGGATTAAGAAAAATATTCATTAATACCTGTAGAAAACTCTGGCCTAAAAAAGATATTTTTTTTTTGTGTTTGCTTTTTTGTAAATTTTTTTTGTATTTTTTTTTTTTTAAGATGACTTGAGTTTCTTGCACTCGGAGAGAGAGAGAGAGAGAGAGACACAGTCAGATGTGCCCATGGTATTGCCTAGAACGTCGTAACTACTGAGAAAGGACGGGGGTGCACGCACGTGGTTACTGAGCGGGGCGCGGGAGGGAGGGGCGCCAAGGCTTTCTCGAGATTTACCTGATGTGAAAGAATCACCGATGTGACGTTGCGGGGGTGGGGAGGGGGGGTAAGAGAAAGAAAAAGGTAGGATCAGAAAACAATCGAAAATAATTTACGCTTTTTAAAAAATATCTCTGCTTCGGGTGGTTGTACAAAATGATTTCCTGATGCTTGGGATCTGAATGGCCCCGGACCGCCACCCGGCGGGTCCCCTCTGTCCTGGCCGGCGAGTCCCGGCCCCACCCGGGCCCCCGAGCTGGCTCGCCGCCCGGAACCGGGCCACCGTGGGAGGGCCCCGGGCGGGGACCGGCTGGCACCTGGGCTGCGGGAGGAGGCCTCCTCCGGCCAGTCTCGGACCCCCGGTCTCTGCCAGCCTGGGCTTCAGGAAGCGCCCAGGGATCCCAGGCCCCTGAGGTTGCGGACAAGGCTGGGCTGTGCCCCTTAAGGAACTTTGGTTCGAAGAGTCAAGGTGCCCGGTGGGGACGCGCGGGTGCGTAAGGACCCTCGGGGGTCCCGGTGCGGACGCCCAGCTGCAGACCTAGCAGATCCTCCTCTGTGCGGAGCTGGATCTTGAAAGCGACACCCGGGGTGGCGGCGACGGCGGCGGGGACGTGAATGTAGCAGACAGTGCCCTACGGATCTTCACCCTCATCGGAGCGGGAGCAGGTGCCTCCTCGCCCAGAAAGCACGGGGCCCTCCAGGGAGAGGCGGGCCTCTGCTGACCACGGGCCTCACACCCAAGGGAGAGAGGAAGAAAAACAGAACGACGGCAACAAACGCCTCCAGAAAACCCTGAAGAGGGGAACCCGGGAGGGAAACGTAAGGGGGGGGAAAAAAAACCCAAAACCACAACACCGTATCATTGGTTCACCATAACTGGCCTAGCAAACATTAGCCACAGTGAAGAGCGGGGCAGGCCCAGCTGGATCCGGGGGGCTGAGCCAGGAGCCCCCGCCTACCGTCTCTGGGGGACACCCCGAGCCCGACTCCGCCTCTCTAGGGGCTCCCCGCCAGGTGCATCCCAGGGACACGGGCGTTGCCGCCGTCCCCAAGGCCCAGGGCACCCCCTCTTCCCGTCTCTGCGAGCACATCATCATGGTGACAACCTCCAGGCACGGTCCCTTCTGGGCCGCTTCTCACGGGACCTCCCTTCTCCATCCGCACCCCAGCTTCCTCGCAAACCTTGCTTGGGAACGTGCGCCCTCGAGGGTGTGTGCTGCGGCCCTGACGTCTCTCCAGGTGCCCAAGGGGTCCAGGCCGAGCCGGGCAGAAGCAGGTGGCCTCGTGCAAGCACAGGGGGGGCTCCGGAAGGCAGAGGTTCGGCTTCACAGTGGAAAACACGCCTTGCAGAGCTTTTCCCTGGTGTGTCTTGAAAGTGCAGGAGATAAAGGAGCAAACTCAAGGGGAGAACACTTGGCAGCTTACGGACCCGGTGTAAAAAGGAAGTCCTTCCTCGGACGGTTCTCTCCTCCAGGAAACCTTCAGCCCCTGTCCCCACGGAGGGCCAATCCCAACACCAACCAGAGGCCATCAGGGGGCCAAGCCGCCTTGCTTGCAGACGGTGCAGCGGCTTTCTGTGCCCTGGACCCCCCAAGGAGAAGCACGGGCAGGGGCCGCTTAGCTCAAGTGGCCCTCCTGTTTCTGTTTCCTGGTTTCTGACCGCTATCTGAGGCCTGGCTGCTGGGCCCGGGCCCAGGGAGGGAAGAACAGTGTTGGGACAAGAGCATCTGTGCCCAGCCTTGCTCACAACGACAGCCCAGAGGGCTGCAGTCCTTGGCCTGGGATTTGGAGGTTGAGGGGGGAGTGGGGTGGGGAGGTGAAGCCAGCGGATGTGAGATGAGGGGAGAACACCCTGCAGGATGGAGGGGCTGTTCTCTCCATCTCCCCTCTGGGGCCCACCTATGTCAAAACAAGACCATTTCTGTCCTGGGAATGGCTTGAGGCGAGCCGTGTCCGAGCCAGCAGAAGACCACAGAGCCGCCGAGAACACGGCAGAAACGGCCCCATCCCCTGGTCTGCTGGCAACCGAGGGCCTGCGGTGGGAAGTCCCATCGTGGTCACAGAACTGGGGAGCAGGACACATCCTCCTGACGGTCGGCGCCAGGGAGGTGCCGGGAGATGAGATGAAGAGTCTACCTCAATCCTTTGGCTAAACTAGAATCTGGATCAGGTGGCTATTGCTGGAAACGAGGGGCCGCCAGTGGCTGGACCTGTGAGATCTTTGGGTTTTACTAAGCGGTTCACTGCAGCGAGATCTGCACTCTGGGAACTGCCTGTGTGAGAAAGCCGACCGTAGGGGCACCGTGATGCAGCCTTTCCTGTCGGTGACGCCCAGTTTCTGGGGAACCGGTGGCTGCAAGAGACAGAGGACCGCCTGCCACCTTGTCACCGTATCTGGATGGGGCCAGCCCCACGAGGCAGCTTCCAGGGCGCCCAGTGGCGTCTACCTTCTACCTGCAGAGCAAGCCAAGCCCGGAGGGTTGAACGGAGGTGGGGAGGAAGAAGAGAACGGGGGTGACACCGATAACTCGACACCCAGAGTGTAACTAGACAGACTTGAGTTTTCATTCTGGAGGGCAGACGTGCCCGCGTCCCCACAAGACTGCGAGTGCTCTAACTGCACGTCCGGGCTCGGCCTCCCATGGCTTTGCAACAAAGAGAAAGGTCTGTTTCCTGACCTACTGGCCCAACAATGGGGCATCGCCAGAACAGCCCTGCTCCCACCAACCACACAGCGTGGGCAGCTCTGGTCCCTCCTCGCGTGGTTCCAAGTGCCAGGTCGAGGGCTGCTCCCCAGCAGCAAAGCAAAACAGCTGTCACTGGGCAACCCTGTAGCCACCTTCCAGAACGTCCGCAAAGGTTGGATCAAAGGGTATGCGGATGCTCCCACGCTCTCTAGAAAGTGACAGCAGGTGACTGTCCAGCGCAGATGGAGGCTCCTCTGGTGGTGTGACCCCGGCTGGAAACGTGGGGGAAATCTCTAGAACTTCTCCAGGAGAGGCAAGGGCACACTGGTTCCTGAGACCACCGCCTGCTGGAGCGAAGGTGCCGACGGCCCGTTCTGACACATTTCAGTATGTCCGAGACTTGGAGGGAAAAGCTGGGTCAGTTCTCATGAGGTGACTCGAGCAGGCACGGCCCCCCAGGGACACCGTTCTGGTCTACAGTCCTGAGCCTTTTCGAGTTTTTGAGCCAGCTTGACTTCCCGAGCTGCCACGAGCCGAGGAGGGGGCTGTTGTACAGTGCTTTTTGGAGTCGAGGTATCTCACTGCTAAGTAATGCTTTGTTTCCAGGAAGGGATGGAGCGGACTTAAGTCAACCCTCAAAATGGTAAAACGTGCCTTTGCCAAGGAGCCCTCCACGATGGTGGCTGTTCTTAGCGAAGTCCTCGGTGTAACCATCTATCCCCCAGCCATGGGCACCGGAGAGTGGGGGGCCACAGGGCCACCAGCACATTACTCACGGGGCTGGGGGTGGGGGCTTGGGGTGGCGTGCTGACCCCGACAGGACCACCACCTCTGGGAGGGCAGAGGGGCCACCGTCTTGGCATCTGGACCGAGTGTGTAGAACCTAAACTGCTCATGGAGAGCAAAGCCATCTTGCACAGCCTCAAGTTCAATGTGGCCTGATGCCATTCCCCCCTCAAGACGACAACTGTTTGGCCCGCAAGGCACCATGCTCAACTACTGTCGTGGAAGGAGGCTCAGGTGGGGGGGTGGGGGGAGTCCCCCCCAACAGGGCGTGGGCCAGAGAACGACCAGAACCCGCCCCTGGGGGCCCCGGGGAGGGGGGGGGAGAGGGGCCGTGGGTCTGAGGTGAGACGGACATGAACACGGATGGACGCGGGAGTCCCTGCTGAGCTGGAAGTGTCCGTGGTGTGGCGAGTAGTGTAATGCACTCTGGGTATAGAAGTCAGACATTCGCGGTACCAGACACAGCAAACCAGGAGGGCGGCTCCTGCGCGTACATTCAGGAGAACTCCCGAGCCACATGCGGCCCCTATGGCTTCCACCGAACCCCGCGTCTGTGAAACGTGTGACGCCAAACCCACTCCTGGTTTCCAAACAGCAAAGCCGAGTTCGTGGTCTCGGCTGTTCGAATACATGAAAATGGGCCTGTCCAGGGAGGGCTGATAAAAACCTCAGGCTACTGAATATACCACTGAGATGAGCTAGTTTACAGTGTGATTTGAGGAACAAAAAGGGCAACTGAGGAAAAAAACAAACGAACAAAAAACCTCCAAAATATAAGTTACAGACATTCAGTGCCTCCTAGCAGAGTCTAAAATCAAATCTGTAAAGAAAAAAAAAAAGGTAAAAACTGCTAAAACGTTAGGAAAAAAACATTATTAAGGAGTGGAGAGGTCTCTATACTTCTTTAAAAAATGTCTTTTTTTTTCTATCTTATATTAAAAAGCAAAAAGTCAGCTTTATATTCTTAAAGTCTCCTTTCCTGATTTGGGGAGATAGATAGGTGTGTTTCTAAGGCGGCTGCCCCGCGAACACCCGTGGGTGTCTCGAAGGCAACAGCTCAATGCCCTGAAGGTGAACGAGAACTAAGTCCAGTGCAGAAACTGTCCATCTGATGCAGTTTGGAGAATCCATGGCAGAGCAGCCGGGGCGGGGTGGGTGCAGGAGGGGGTGCAGGGGCGGGGAGGGGTGGAGGGGGTGGGGGGCGCACGGGGTCAAGGACAGAGAGCGTCAAGTCACTTCAGATCTCAGCTGCCTGAACATTTTACAACATCAGCTTCCTACCAATCTGCACACCTGAAAACGGAGTCTTTCGAGCCCCCTCACTGAGAAAAGGAGGTGAAGTGTCTTCCCTCTTTCCCACTCAGCTTTCCTGACACACCTGGCTTAATGCACACGTGCCCACGGGCAGGCGTGTGTGCATGTACCAGGGTTGCGTGAGTGTGTGTGTGTGCATGGGTGCGTGAGGCTGCGGCGGCCCCACAGGTGAGCACAGGGCCCCCGCGCCCCACACCGCACACCCACGGCACGCGTGCTCGGACGCATCCGCACACGGGCGGGCGGGCGTGCACACACACACATGCACGCACACACTGAAAAAGCACTTAAGTTTCCAGGGGGGCGTTTATAATGAGGTCCACAGTGTTTAGAACTTAAATTCCTTTTCTTTGTTTGCGACAGTGTTGTGTGTGTGTGTGTTTGTGGTTTTTTTTTTTCTAACGTTTCTCTTTTCTTTTTTTCTCTTCTTTTCTCTTCTTAGTGTTCTGAAGTCTTAAAGCATGTTGGATTTCAGAAACATGAGTTTGTTCATATCTTCTGGACTGAGCAGTCGCCTCCTTTTGATCAGAAGGGCTTGCTCACACATATTTACACACCCGCTCCTGGCCCCCACGGCCGGAACCGCAAGCAGCCAGAAGGCCAGCTTGGCGAGTTTCGTGTGCTTCTGGGTAACGCACGACCAGTACTGGAAGAGATCAGGGGTGGCCTGGAAGAGGGGCTCCTGCAGGTAATCGTACACTTCGTTTTTCCCGAGCCGATCATCTTCCTGAGCTGCGGGGTTCTCGCCCGTGGCGGAGCGGGGCTTCTTGGCCGTGGGCTCGAAGTCGGCCTCCTCGGTCCAGGACTCCTTCACCTCGTTGATGAGCTCACACACCTTGCCGATGATCTCCTCGTGCTGGTAGGGCGGGACGGGCCGCAGCTTCTGCTGCGGGTCCAGGATCATGGCCACCTTGTGCGCCGGGTGCACCTTGAAGTTCTCCTTGAGGGCCTCCAGGAAGAGGTGGCACAGCTTGCTGACGGTGCCCGCGTCGTTGGCCTTGGCCGTGAACAGCTTCTCCAGCCTGACGTAGGTGGGCAGCACCAGCTGCAGGGTGGGCTGGCTCTCGTTGCTCAGCTCGATGACCGCCTGCTTTACGGGCGTCAGGATGGCTGCCAGGTTGCTGAGCAGATGCTTGTTGAGGCTCTGGATGAGGTTCATCTTCTTGGCGCGGCTGTAGAACTCACAGATCTGCTCGTAGCGCTCATGCACCAGCAGCAGCGAGTCCGTGACCGAGTTCCAGCAGGGCGGCGGCGAGGTCTCCTCCAGCGACCCGAAGGTCTCCTTTGCCAGGCCCGTGGAGCCCGCCAGGTCCTCGCACACGTTGAGCAGCTCGATGACCTCGTGCATGCTGCGGGCCTGCAGCGTCCGCTTGCTCAGCACGCTCTGCACCACCGAGTTCAAGGCACAGGCTGAGCAGCGAAGGCACATGCCGGCCTTGGAGAAGGCAGACGCGCTCACCCGGCAGTCCGTCACGTACACCGTCCTGATCTCTGACATCACGAACTCCGACAACACGTTCTGCACCCAGTGGTGCACCAGGTCGCCGCTGTCACGAATGTCCGCGCCCTTCACGCCCAGCACGTAGCTCTTGATGTGGTTGCCCTCGGCTTGGTAGGCCGTGAGGATGTAGCATGAGTCGGGGCCGACGCTCTGCGAGTGGCAGGTGACCCCAATGCCCAGGCAGGCGTTGCTGCCCAGGGCGCACGTCACCTTCACCTTCACCTGGTTGTACATGCGTGGCAGGTGCTTTAGCGCCAGTGTGTTGAAGTTGCCCAGGATCTCCGTGACTGAGAAGGCCCCGTAGCGGGCACCACTGTCCACCAGCGTCTGGGCCAGTTTCAGGAACTCCTTCCCACTCACCACGCTCAGCGCACCCAGGTCGGCGCACATGACCCTCAGCAGCCGCTCTGCAATATTTTGCCGCTCCTTCTCTGGGATCATGCTGTTGGGTGTTAAACCGCTGCTCATGGCTGGCAGGGGACACAGAGAGAGATGTGATTAAACCCAGCACCAGGGGCGCCTGGGTGGCTCCGTCAGTTAAGCATCTGCCTTTGGCTCAGGTCATGATCCCAGGGTCCTGGGTTCGAGCCCCACATGGGGTTCCCTGCCCCTCCCTCTGCAGCTCCCCCCTTGTGCTCTCTTGCTCCTTATCTTTCTGTCAAATAAATAAAACCTTAGAAAGAAAAACTTGGCATCTGAGGTTCCTTCGTCTGGCAGCAGCCTACTACTCTAAGCATCTGGCATTAGGTGTTACGGGGAGGTTTCATCTTGTACACAAACTGGTGGTGCTGGTGGTCTTTAACACGTGACTCTCACGGAGTAACACTCTAGGATCGACTAGCAATGCCTGCCATGAGCATGGGACTAGAACATAAGGGTACGTATGCAACACACTTGCTGCGTGTATCAGGCACCTAGACTTTAGAAGCCAACTGGTCTAACTTCTTTCTCAACATGGGAACTGCCTGCCTCTAATAAAGGACTCTAGTGAATAAAATAAATGAGGCCACAGCATCTTAAGAAAGAGCACCCAAGAGAAATTGTGGAGAGTGGGTTCCACTTCTGACCATCACTAAATATGTGCTCTCTGACCACAAAAAGATCACCTCTTCTCCCTGGGCTTCCTTCTGCCCGTCCAGTGAGGTCACAATTCCCAAGAATGAGGTCTTAGGTATATAAGAGCTTCGCATGCAGTCTTGTATCACCATGAGAGGCACAGGCGGTGGGACTGGGGGCCGGGGTGGGTGGGCAGAAGGGAGCGACTGGAGCCGGGGCTAGAGGAGCAGGGGGCAGACCTCTGTGAGGCCCTGGGCCCTGGCCTGGGAGAGACCTACTGTTGTTGGCGCTGTTCCTCTGGGCCTGGGGTTTCCACTTCTCTTCTACGACAGCAGGTGGTGATCGGGACTGGTTGGAGGCGATGTTGTTCTCGTTGTCCGCTGCGGATACAAAGGGGACAGCGTGGGACCCTGTTGCGCAAGAGGCCCGCCAACAAACAAAACAAGAACTACAGCATGGCGGGTGAAGTCCAAACAAGGCCTCTAGGACTCAGGCCTGGGTCCAAATCCTGGCTCTTGCTCGGGAAGCCATATTTTGCTTGCAAAACCCCCACGGTGTCACTTGAGAAAATGCAGATGAGCACACGGATGTGACACACGTGCCAGAAGGACCGACCAGAGAAGGAAATGCAAAGAAAGGCTGAAGCGCAGGGCCAGGAGCACAGTAAGCACTCGGGGGTGGGAACCGCTGCCCTGGAGTCTACCTGGGGAGCCCCACACCCACACACAACCACATGTTCCAGCTCAGAAATGGGCAAGGGGGATCAGTTAGTGAGTGGCCTAAGGGACCTCACATTCTCTCATTTCTCTTAAGGGTGTTTATCTTTTCAGTTTATTTACTAAAAAATTTAAAGGAAAAAAGCAAAACCAGAGCCCTAGGTGTCAGATGTGGAAACTGAAGCCCAGATACAGGTGAGTTACCCTGGATCACACAAAAAAACCAAAGGCAAGGCTGAGACAGAGATCCCGGGTCCCCTGACTCCTAATGCCTGTTCCATGCATTTTCCTAATTTTTGTTTACTTGTGCATGTGTGACTGTCTCATAAATGAATGCTACATGCCCGGTGCCTGGGTGGCTCAGCTGGTTGAGCATCCAACTCTTATTTTGGCTCAGGTCATGATCTCAGGGTCATGGGATCGAGCCCCGTGTCTGGCTCTGTGCTGGCGTGGAGTCTACTTTAGATTCTCTCTCTCCCTCTGCCCTTCCCCGCCCCCGGCCTGCACTCTCTCTCTCCTCTCTCTCTCAGATAGAGAGAGAGAGATGATAAAATAGCACATGCCTATTCTCTTCCCTTCATGGCTACTCCTTGCCATTTTTATAGAATCATTTCTGAGTAGACATGGTCTGAGTAACATGCTTGTCATCACAAGTGACCACATGGGCTTCTGTTGTACAATTTGCCACAGGTTGTTGAACCACACACCAAGTGCCGAGTTTCTGGGCTGTTTCCAATATTACTGTTCTGCTATGAACCTACTTGCCTAATATTCTAATATCATTTCTCTGTGCTTCTGTTGTTGTGGGTTTATTTCCCTGCAACATCATCTTATAGGTAGAATCACAAATCCAAGGACATGAATAGGTCCATGACACCTGTGTGGGGCAGCCAGATATCTTCCATCCTTCTCCATTAGAGGCATCAGGCCTTGGAGGCCAAGGCCACAACTTTCATACCAAGAGAAGAGTTTTCCCCAATACGTACATGTTCAGCCCTGCAAGGCTAATTAAGAAACTCCAGGAAAAAACAAAAAGAAAACCAAGAGCACCCCCCAAACAACAACAACAGAAACTCCAAGACATTCACTTGAAGGAACATATTACAATCACTAGGAAAGGTGGTTGCACAGACTGTGATAACAAAAGAAAATGCATAAGGAAAAGATCTCATCATAATTTTATACATATTGTTTATATTTGTATTTTAGACTTGCAAGTCCAGGAACAAACCAACCTACGCATCAAAGATAGAGGAAGAGGGGACTTTCACTTCCATCCATGAAGCATAACCTGCCATGGGTATTGCTCTCCATCCAGTTGCAAACAACTGTCAATCATGATACCACTGCTTTCAGACAGGTAACCCAGGAGCATGACCCCAGAAAAAGAGGAACAAATGTGCTAAGTAATACGATTGGCCCAGCTTGCCTGAAAGCAGTTTCCAAGCTGCAGCATAGGGACAGGGAGCTGGAACAGAGCCCAGTGGTCTTACTGATTTGAAGAGGCAGGAACCAATGTTTAGGGAGGTCAAAAGGAGCTCGAATTTACAGATAAAGCACCAAAGAGGAGGGGGTTACCTAAAGAAAGAGCTCTGGAGACCTTTAGTAGGGTTCCCTGAAGTCTGCTGAATACTTACTCACCTGCCCAAGTGCAGAGTCAAGTTCTGCATGACTGGGTAAAGAATCACTAGAAAGCAGGAAGTGGGGGTGGGGAGGAAATAATTTGCATTCCCTCAACCAGAAGGGAGACACCACAATGCATAAGGAATTGGGTAGGGTGGCCTCACTATGGGGCAAAATTCACCATAGATTAAGGGCTGCACTAGACCTGTCCTAGTACATTTTTAAAAAAGGTTTTATATACTTATTAGAAAAAAAGAGATGGAGGAAGGGAGAGAGAGAACTGAGTGGGGAGGGAGGGGCAGAGGGCGAGGGAGAAACAGACTCCCCACTCAGTAGGGATCCCAAAGGAGACCAATCCAAGGACCCCGGGATCATGGCCTGAGCTGAGGGCAGACACTTAAACAACTGAGACACCCAGGAGCCCCTCTGCTATAATACATTTTAAAAATAATTCTTCAAAGTATCGAGGGGGTCCTATGTAACTAAACTGTAAACCAGAACAAAGTCCAATCCTTTTTCAAAGTCTAGCACCTAATGATATAAAAATTTGCAATGTTGATTATACAGTAAAAGTTATCAGGCATTCAAAATAGTAAGAAAATATGACCTATCAACCTGGAGAAAAACCACTCAATAGAAAGAGAGCCACAAAGGACAGAGATGATGGAATTATCCAGTAAGGAGCTTACAGCAGTGGTTATAAATACCATAAATGTGCTCAAAGTCACGAAGGGAAACATGCATACCATCAGGAGAGAACTGCAAGATGTGAAAAACCCAAAGCTGAAACTAACCAACTCAAATGGAACTCGTAGATATAAAAATAAATTGTCCAGGGAAAAAACACACCATATGTGATAAAAGATCAGGTGCCACAGAAGAAAAAAATCAGTGGAGAAAGAGCAAGAGAACTACCTAACATGAAAAACAGAAAGGGTAAAAGGCTGAAGATGAGGAACAGAGCATGGAGACTATCAGAGTTTCATATACATATAATTTTGAGTCCCAGGAAAAGGCAGAAAAAAAATATCTGAAGAAATGGCCAGTTTTCCCAAACTGGATTAAAAATATAAGCCCAGATTCAAAAAACTCAAATGACTCTTCTGAGTCTGACAAATAACAAGATGGTAGATTTAAACTCGATAATATTAAATTTACATTAAATATAAACGGTCTCTACATTCCAAAGAAAAATTAGAGATTATCATACTTAATAATAAAAAGGTACGACTCTACCATAGGTTATCTATAAGGAATCTATTTAAATATGAAGACAAAGTAAAAGGCTAAGTAAAGGTATACTATACAAATAGTGGAGAAGAAAGCTAGGGATGTTTGTGATAGTTTACAGAATAAAAAACCAGACCTCAGGACAAGAAATATTACCAGGGGTAATAAGAGACCCTATACCATCACAACAGGGTCAAAATACCAAGAATAACATAATAATCCTAAATATAAATATAAATAAATAAATAAATTATATATATATATATCTTCACATGAAGCAAACACTGAAACAAGAAGTAGACAAACCCACAAGTGTAACTGGGGATTTCAACTCTCTTCCCTGAGTAATTGTTAGTTACAAATGAAGGAAAAGGACTGTACATAAATGAACAGAGAGTAGACAAGATCAAGCAGCCTAATATACATATAATTGGGTTCCCAGAAAAAGGAGGTAGGAAGAAATATAGTGAAATCACATAAATGGTCTCTGACTGTAACTGAATTAAAAATTAGAAATCAGTAACAAATAGGTCTTTGGAAAAATTGCAACTATATGCATAATAAACATCACACTTCTATAATCACACAGATAAAAAAAAGTACCATAAGGGAAATTAGAAAATGGTTTGAACTTAACGTTAAAATATAACCTTTCAGAGTTTATGGGATCCATCTAAAGCAGGGCATATTTATAGCATTAAATAATTACATTAGAGGGACTCCTGGGTGGCTCAGTGGTTGAGCATCTGCCTTCAGCTCAGAGTGTGACACCGGGTCCTGGGATCGAGTCCCACATTGGGCTCACTGCGAGGAGGCTGCTTCTCTCTCTGCCTATGTCTCTGCCTCTCTCTCTCTCTGTGTTTCTCATGAATCAATAAATAAATTTTTAAAAAATTACATTAGAAAAGAATAAAGGTTTAAAATCAGTACCATAAGCTTCCACCCTGAGAGAGATTTAAAAAGGAAAAGTAAATGGAGTCCGAAGTAAGCAGAAAAGAAATCACACAGCTAAAAGCAAAAAAGAGTAAAACAGAAAATAAATACAATAGAGAAAAATAATGAAACTAAAAGCTCGTTCTTTGTAGAAATGAAGACAAAAGGATAAACCTTGAGGCAAAAATATTTTCAAAAGAAAAAGGACACAAATTATTAGTATCAGGAATGATGGAAGGAGATATTACTATATATGCTACAGATATTAGAAAGACTGAAATGATGCCACCCCTTAAGTGAGGCAAACAAATAACCTAAAAGATACAAAATATGAAAAGCCCATTCCAGAAGAAATAGATAACCTGAAATAATCCTGTATCTATTACAGAAATTCAGTTCATAGTTAAATAACCAGTCACAAAGAAAAATCCCATTTGGGTTCACTGGAGAATCTGACCAAATATTTAAGAAAGAAGTAATATAAATTCTACACACATTATTCCAGAAAATGGAGAGGGAAGAGCATCTCTCAATTCATTTTATGAGGCTGGCATTACTCTGATCCAAAACTAGAGAAAAACACTGCAGGAGAAGAAACTACGAACCAATATCCCTCATAAACATACACATAAACACCCTTAACCAAATATTAGCAAACTAAATACAGAGATATATTAAAAGATTATCATCTCTAGGTGGAATTTACCCCAGAAATGTTAAGCTGAGGTTAAAAAAATAAATCCAGTCAGTGCAATTCCCTATACTAAGAGAAAATGAGAAGAAAAATGATTTCTATAGCTATAAGTACACATTAAAATGTGACAAAATTCAGGGGTGCCTGGGTGGCTCAGTCTGTTAGGTGTCCAACTCAATTTCAG